GGGACTCGAGTCCAAGTCACAAGTCATACAAGTCTACTCTTGTCTGTAAATGGAGAAAACCTAAAATGTTTTCCCTTTAATCCAAAATCTTGATTCATTGCCCATAATTAAGCCTGTATATGGTGTGACTACAACCACCCTGCTCTTTAAAAGAACCTGGAGTTCAACCCCCCTCCCCTTCCCCCACCCCCTTTTTATCAAAACCTGGATCCACCACTGACTCTGCATAATACTTGTTTTAACAGTGGTGATATTTTCTAATCTTGCCGCAGTTATGGAACAGTGCAACCCAGCTGATCTAGCTACTTTCCCTCAGCGCATGCGTACCTGGTTTTTGGAAGTCATGAAGGAGCTGTCTGGTCTGACAGAGGAGCAAGGAGGCTTGGACGAAGAAGAACGCGAGTTTGAGAAACTGGCTGAAGCAGAGACTAAGCCATGGCGACGCCCACTGCACTGGAAGTTTTTCAACATGGACATTGCGCCCAACGATTTGTAAGTGACAGCAAAACTTTGCAGTTATTTCGTGGTTTCTTAGTTCATAATTATTTTTTTTCGTGTGTGTGTAATGCAGTTTAGAGTGTAAAGCCTAAAAAGTTGATGGTGTCATATAAGACTTTCATTAGATATTCCAATATACGTGAGCATGGGCGTAGCAAGGAGGGGCCAAAAGCAAAAAAAAAAAAAAGAAGAAGAAGAAGAAGAAGAAAAGGAAAAAAGAAAAGAAAAAGAGGCGCGAAGACAAAGTGGTGTAAATTTAATGAGTTTGGGGGGGGGCAAAATGTCTCTGCCCCCCTCTAAAACTGATAAATCGAGAATATGTTGAGAACTGCAAGCAGTTTTGGCAAAAAATTTGTTTGCCCCCTCTAGAAAAAATCCTGGCGACGCCCATGTACGTGAGTTTGTCATATGAATGTTTGAGATCAGTGTGTACACAATTGCTATTTTCCTACCAATATAAAAGTTATTCACTTTTGAATGATTCATCGAACCAAAAAATCCAACGTGTAGTTAATATTAAATATTTCTACACAAAATTCCATTCATTGGCTGCCAATAATTCTGCTCTTGCAAGGCTGGTTCATTTGTAAACAACATGAAAGCTCTTTCTCAAAGTAGACTATTGCCATTTTGCAATAGGCTGGTTGCGGGCAAACATTGCTGTGTGATCTTGAATGCAGGAGGCGGGATGCAGACCTATTGATGTCATGCATATAATTTGCATACATTAAACAGATCTCCGTGTTATGCATTGAAGATTCACCGCTAGTTAACGGACCCCATTTTTGAAGTCCAAAGGACAATGGGGTCAGGGAACCAGACTATTCTCAAAGGTTCAAGGACACAAGATCGGTAGCAGTTTTTCCTTAAAACAAAACATGAAAATTGAAAATTTGTTTGGATAAACTAGATCCAATTTTCTTAAAAGCACAGGGTATGCAACTGTAAACATTCCCAAATTGTGTTGCAAAACTAATAGCATAAATTTGAATGGTTAAAAAATAACCACTAAATTACATTTATTAGTTACTTATCTCCACATGATGTATCATTCCTTTCGAGATGGTAATTATAATGGATTATTCATTGAAGTAGGTCATCATTGAAGTTTATATTTAACCAGTAAAAAATAACTGGTAGTTGCATTAAGTAGTTACAATAACTTTTTGCAATAACGAGTTACAAATTGTTGCAGTAATGAGTATCTCCACATGACGTTTGCTTCCTATTGAATCGTTGATTGTGACGATTGCTCGTTGTTTCCGCAGTCACCTAAGTGAGTCCGAGTTGATGCCAATGCGTGCCCAGCTTCTTCCCATGGAACCTTGCACTGATGCATTCATCGCAAGCTGCGATACCAATGACGATGACTTGATCTCTATCGTTGAGTGGGGTACCTGCATGGGACTGAATGAGGGTAGGTCCTGCATTAACCTTAAACTCTCTAGGCATTTTTACTAGGATGCAACCTCAATCCTGCAAAATCCTCCAATTGCGTGTATGTAAGAACTGCATACAGCCACAATCCTCCAAAATCCTCTGTTATTCTTGAATGTGGTCCTTGGAGGGGGACCACTGCCTCAATCCTGTAAAATCCTCCAGCAATCACTGTCAATATGTTGAGGCAGAGCCAGTGTCATCCTGGAGCAGTGCAGGGATTTCAAGCATAATCTAGGCCTAATCTTATGCACCGCTGAGCATAAACAATACAAGGTCCAGCCAAGACCTTGGCACAGTGCATCCTTCAAAATCAGCCACACATTTTTACCATGTTACCTCAATCCTGCAAAATCCTCCATTTTGCAAAGAGGATTTTGGAGTATTTTGGAAGGTTAGGGTAAACAGGGGTGTGAAATCTCCGCTATTTAGCCGATTTCCGCTTTTTTGTTCAGCGTGTGCCACATTTTGTTTTCCGCTTTTTTTCTTCGATGGTCCAGATTTCCCCCCGTTTTTCCCCGCGCGTAAGCATTGATTTTATTTCCGTTTATTTTATTTCCGCCACCGCCGAACGCACGCGATCCGCTCTCTACAACATACATGTACACGTAGCTCTGAGGTGCGTGCAATCGCAAGCGAGTATTCAATGTACATTGTACATACATGTACATGTACGTACGTGTGTACTATACGATGCCATGTGCATGCATTTTTCAGCTCAAAGCCGCGTGTGTGTAAAGAGCATCCGGGGAACCAACAGTCATTGCGCTGTGATTGGCTGCAGATAAATATGAATATTCACACATGCGCCATGAAGCGCGTTGGGACTCTTTGCGGCCGTTCCTGTGTCTATGCATGTAGTGACACGCGATGATCTCCACAATAACTCGCTGTAAACATCGTCTAGTTGCAAATATAAAGCCTTGAAATAAGACTAGTAAATTGTCGCCGTGCCGCGCCGGTAGAGGGCATCATGCGGGGCAAAGTTCATGTGTGCATTTCATTGCATGCACGCATCCTGCTGCATGTATTCCGCTGCATGGTGATACGTACGTTAGTCATGTTAGTGTGTCGTTTCAAATGTTTCGAACGTATTTTGACATTATTAATTCCGCAAGATGTCAGTGCAACACAAGTGTGTTATTATCCAAAGAGGTTCGGAGTTTGATATGGACATTGACAAGACCGATCCTCAGGTTACGAATCCGTGGAAATGGATTTGGATGGAACACATGGTTAATGGGCTGAAATTAGGCGACTCGATCAGAAGCCGGGACACGCGATGACGATGTGTATCATCTGCAGTAAGGAGTTAAAATATGGAAAACGTGGTCGAATTTCCCAGTTTTCATATACAAGTTGGCCATTTAGGCAGTTTCAAGCCAATATGAAGGAAAAGTTAACTTAAAAACATGCATAAATTGCAAAACATTTTCCACAAATAGTTGGCCCAGGCATGCCAGGAGGCTTTAAAATGCACCACAGAGCATCTCTATTTCAAATTTTTTAATACTCGACTTGTCCCGAGTCGAGTTGTCTCAACGGTCGACTTGTCTGACCCCCCCAAATAGCACCGACATGTCATTGAATTATTCATCCCAACCAATGGCCCCAATCAGCTGACGAGGATTTATTCAGGTGTTGTGTAAAACAAATCATGAATGTTTCACATTCGTGCAATGGAAAGAATAATTTAATTCAGTGACCTCATGCAATTATTCTTACCATTGCACTCATAAACATTCATTATATGTGTAACACTGTGTGAACCCTTCTGTCTTAAATGGTATCACTCAGAAAAAAAATCATTGAACTTAAAAAAGACCTCCCAAAAGTGCCTGATTCCTGGTTGTACATGTACTCGGAAGTACAAGTACTTGTATTCGCACTGGTACTCGGAAGTACAAGTACTCGTACTCGGAGACACGTTCTTGTACTCGGAGGTACAAGTTCTCGTACTCATACTCGGCAACCTAAGTACTCGGCAGTACTCGGTACTCGGAAAAAAGTACTCGACTACAACACTGATCTATACCAGTATTGTGTTCGAGTCCATCACAATGGAAGACTTTTGAGACAGGTGGCAGCAAACACTTTGGCCCTTTTTCCATTGTTTGCGTCATGTTGAGCATGCGCGCTTTCGCTTAAACATGGCGTTAACAATTGAAAAGGACCAGTATGTTTGCTTCCACCAACGTCTCAAAAGTCTCCCATTCCTTTCACAATTCCTTAAGTACAGTCACAAGTCCTTTCATAAAACCGGAATGCTTTTGCAACAGCTCATTTGCATAGCTAGTGACTTGACTTGAGACTGATGAAGGACTTGTGAGGGACTTGCATGACTCAAAAACAACACTGATCTATACACTACATGTATATTCAGTTAGTTTTAATGTGTAAGTTAAACAAAATTTTTATGAACTGCAGTGTCTCAGTTTGTATGCTATTTTTGTTGATTGCTTCATTTTACTCAGAGTGTACACATGGAATTAGCTGGTAGTTCATTCACACTTGAATGTGCATCTGCGAATATGATTATCCCAAGAGCACAGACCACAAAATAATTTGGTGCGTCAGTGCCCCTACGATACAAGGCAGAATTAATGCCGAGTGGCAAATGGGACACAGTTATACTTTATTTCCTGCGTTCCACTCGCATGCTTGTGGGATAATGAATTTATCTTCAAGCTAACTTGAGCACAGTTACGATGGAACTCGTATGCCGTGGTCGCCTTTTGGCGGATATCCTTTTATGTGTGCACACATAACAGCAAGAATATAGCGCGTGAATCTTAGATTAGAGTTTCGGCCTTCACTGATGTATAATATGCTTTATGCTATTGCATTAATTGAACAGCCTGCTCATGATAAATTATAAATGATGAAGTCACCAAAATTGTAGTTAATTTTCATCATCTCACTTTGTTTACATACAAATCATGTTTAATATTGAAGATTAATATTGAAAAAATGCAATGCATGTATAACATGCAGAATTTACCCTGCGAAGAGCAATCGTTTCATTTTTGCTGTAATCCACCATGGTACATGTACTGAACTTTTCAGTATGATGGTGCATGGGTGTAACGGTCTCTAACACAATCCCTTCAGTAGGTGTTGTCAAGAACATAATCCCTTCTCATAGTCTCAAAACACATGCAGATGGATAGAGACCCTTTTCTCTCCCCAGTAGCCAGTACCCGTACGAGAAAAGTTAGAGATTTATCTCCTTGTTTTTTGGCCTGGCCATCGTCCCCCCCCCCCCCTCCACAACAGTCTGAGGCTACATATATTTAGCTAAAAAGGATGAGAAACCACTAGTTTCCCCAGCTTCATATCAAGACTTGGCCTAGTGAGTGACAGGATGATTGATGGCCTTGTGATAACAGCAGCTACTTTAATGTTGTACACTCACAATACAATACAATTAATGTACTACATGTGACATAACAAATCCTATTGGAGTTGGCCTGGGTCTGATCTTTGCCTCAGAAATTCTGGGTCAAAATTTCAACCAGGGTTGAAGGGACACTGACGATGCTTTTGAAGTTTTGTCTTAAGAGGAAACTTGCGAAGTATGAAGACAACATGACAGAGTAATTCAAAATTATTTGAAAATGTACTGACAATGCCAGTGCATGTACATGTACGGTCACACACCACAGAGTTAAAATTATAACATAAGTACACAAATATTACATGTAGGCCCTCCCTGCATTCCCTAATAAATGGATGGTAATTCCCTAATGAAAAGATGTTAATTTTCTGATTTGGTTGTAATTTCATTTCAGAGGAGATCCTGTACTAGACGAAGACGGACTTAGAGGGACGCTGAGTCAAGACTTTTCTACATTTCTATGCAACTCGTGATAATGGTGCTACCTTTTAATCCGTCGATAAGTGTGCCAACTGTATAGAATAGGAATTTAAGTAGGAAGCAAGAACCAAATTATGTTGCTGATGGTCAAAACAAAATCCAGGCCTGTTAGAAAAAAATAAGAACGGTAAAAATGAATCACAAAGGGAAACTGACTTTTAAAAAAAACTGACTTTTTTACTATACATGTAAAAGGCCAATTGAAAAAAAAATAACCAATTTCTTGCCCCCCCCCCCCCCCCCCCCGGCTCCCTTTTTCTCCGGCTGACTCCTTTTTTGTTTTTATTCATACATTTGCAATCTTTTTTTTCATACATTGTCAATATGTTGTCTTTTTATTTGTTTCCAACAAAATTGCAGCTATGTAAAAAGGGTTTTGGCTTCTTTTGGACACAATTTTGTATCAGTTGAGAAAATTGAAGAATCCATCCGCCATCTTGAAAAATAAGCCATCTTGGGGGAAAAACTCACACGTCCTTTATTTTTTCAAAAAAGCCTTCTTATTTTTTTTTTATTCGGCCTCACTGGTACTGATCACTGTACAATGTACTCCGTTATTTTGGAATTGTCAACATTCATTTATTTTGACGAAAAGTTCTTTATATAAATAAATGATTAAAGGGATAATACAACATTTGCAAACATCGAAAAATAAAACTACCAAGTTTTTACGAAATACCTTGATGTTGGTAAATGACCAATAGGATGTTGGTAAATGACAGTCTAAAGCATCCTGTAAAATTATGGCACCTGGTGTGAAGTCATTTTCAAGAAAATGGTATTTTTGTAAAAAATTTCCAACGGTGGTCGGCCGACCACCATTGGAAAAACCTAACTATTTTTCAACTACTGCCCCAAATTTACCATTTATTCAGTCCAAATTTTGTTTGCTATTGGTTACGTGTTCATGAACGGGTGCAGGCCAGCTAGACTGGTACCCTTACCTTACAATTTTCTTGCATCTGTAAACTGATCCATTTTATAATTAGTGGAGTCATGGAACCAGACTACTTGAACAGTTTTGTTTTTCTTGGTTTTTCCAGCATTTTCGAACACAAAACTTCAAACATGTCATTGTAACAATATTTGATCTATTATACTACCCCTCAAATAGTTCATTTCTGAAAATTACAGCAAAAGCCAATGATGTATATTCCCTTTAACTAGTAGTTGTGTGCTTCTAATTTTGTAGGAAAAACATCCTAACAATTTAGAAAATATTTGAAAGATGTAGATTTGTAGGTGCAGGCGGGTTCTGTCCCTCTAGTGATGAAGTTTTGATATCTGATTATAGGCCAGTTTCAAACAGCTATTGTGCGATTATTATGAAAATTGCTGGATTGAAGTTTTTATTCAAAACGGAAGATAATAGAGGTGCGATTTCAATAATACGAGAGGACCCTTCTGAAACGTTTACGCTTATGCTAGGACACCTAATGCCGAAAAGAAAGTTGAATTACCAGTTTTCATATTCTTTAAAGAGAGGAAAAAACTGGTTTACATACATGGTGAGTTAAAAAAGCGGAACCCAAATCCCCAAAACTATATCTTTTAAACTGAGGTTTTATCGCCGGTGATGTTGGAAGATTGTGAAGGCGATTCTTGAAATCGCATTTTTGGACGAAAGATGTTTTCGTGTCATTGTGTTGAAATGGTGATATTCTTCGAACGGATTGAGCAATTTCAGTATGGTTTTCATCTAAAAGTAGCTTATGAAATTGGCTTTCCAGTCATTATTATGTTTGATGCTACATGTTTTTTTAAATATGAAATATAATTTTGGGGGCTTGGGTTCCGCTTTTTTTCCCGCTTTTGTTTTTAATCACCCTGTATGACTGCAATACATGTACATGTACAAGGTCAGGGATCACACTATCACTGCCATCTTTAATCAAAGAGGCTTTCGTATCAAGCAAATGACCATATTTTTTTTTAAGAAAACGAAAACCATCATAATCTGTACTGGATAGTTTTTGTTAATATGTGAATTTTTAAAAGTGTAGATTTGCCAGTGTGTAGATAATGAAAACTGCCTTTTATTCGTTTTATTTTTAACGTTTGTCGTCTCTAATATTACTGCTCAATATTTGCCAGCTACCAAAAAAGCTTAAGCTTATGTACTCGAATATTCAGTCAGGCAAAAGTACTCGGCATGCAGTTTAATTGTAATCATCTTTAATACATGTACACGAACATCATGAAAACTTTAAAACGTTTGCACAAACGATTAAAGCTGTACTTACATTGCCATAGACAACGAGACTAATGTCTACTCATATTATGTATGCGCAAGATTTGCGAAGATCCTTAGTAAAATGAAATGCAAGAATTGATGATGGTTGTGTCCTTTTTGGGGGGGGGGGGTAGTTGTCGTAGTACATGTGCACATGTATATGTATGCAGAATCTGCAAGAAATATATTGTCAGTGTGTCTGTAGAACACTTTAATTTCCAAAATTCAGTTAATCGTTGGGAAAACGCCAGCAAGCCAGATGGATAATTCCATGGGGTGTTTACTTGTGCAAGTATACCGATGCCGTTGAAAATGTAAGCATTTTGATAAGGGCCTCCCTTGTTATTTCTTTGGTTCTCATTTTCCGGCCGATTTTTGCCACCTATAGGCCATCAGCCTCGGTCCAAAATGTTGGCCACCGGTATCAAATGAGGGGAATAATCGTCATAGCGATTTTTGGCAAGGTATACACCTCCAGAGTTGGAAAATATGTGTGATAGCATTGCATCGGTGGCAGCTTTTTGGGTGTTGTCACCCTTTTTTTTCAGGATGTCCATCAAAATGCTTGTTGCCACTCTAGGGGCGGTATTCCTTGCGCATGCGCACTATCATCATTTATGCCCTGATTTGATACTGACCAAACCCCCAGGCTGATGGCCTACTACCGAAGAAAACCCCTGTCTAGAACTACACAGAACTACCCATGTAGTCTGTGGATTAGCAACAGGCAAGGCAAGCTGGTCTATGACATGCGAGCAGATTCCGACATTAATTATGCAAGACAAGACGCAGAATCTGACCATTCAGCGGGCGCCTTCTTTCAGCAACCCATTTTTGTAAAATTACAAAAAACATGGCAGCCAATTGACCAATCAGCAGCTTAGGATTTAACGCGGCAAAATAATGCAGTCAGGCAAGATGGCGTCGATCGGTCACCGGGCCCCCACTGATCTCATTGCCGGTGAGGGGGTACTTGTGAACGGAGCGGATAGCTGCAAAGTGTAGAGAATCTCTAAGCCATGAAAACGCGTAACAAAAACGTAACCATGCGAAACATCTGGTAACCTATATTATAACACCTCATCCACAGCTTCCTTATCTTGATTGGCCGAGAGCAAGTCACGTGGCATTTGCTATTTTTACTTTTTGCTGTGCACGGCCAAAAGTACTATGCATACGGGTGTGCGTGTAAAAAGCGCTTCGCTAGTCGCTACAGAATTGGGTTCAAACATTTCGTGAAGGGGTAGTTCAGAAAAGTGCAAGTAAATGTTCAACTAATTTCGTATTCAAATTGAAGTACATGTACATTTTAATTGTATTTAGATTACATTAATCAGTTATCGCTTAAAATCAAGCATAATCTGTCGGCGAGGTGTTATAAAACAAATATTGATGGTGACTGTTTTATCTTGTGGTGTAAAACTAGCCTACCTCGGTGATCCATGTAGCATTTTATTTTTCCTCGGCTTCGCCTCGGGAAAAATACATGTAGAATGCTTCATGGATCACCTCGGGAGGCTAGTTTTACTCACCACTCGAAGCAGTCAATAATTATTTGTATACTATAGGGTGTCCCTCCAAAAAGGTGACCCATAAACTATAATGTGAATAAACTGCGAACTGTATACATGTAAATATGGCTTCATCATAAATGATAGGAAGTATAGCTTTCCATTGATACCTGTGATGAATAATTCTGGTCATGCAACACTGAGTTTCATTGTATTAAAAATGTATGTAAAAACCTTCTTGCGACAGTTTGTGTAAAACAGTGTAAACGCAATGAAAGGTAAAGAAAAAACAGCAAAACAAGCTATCCATCATGATCTTTTTCGGCATCACCAACACCCATGTATCTTCCAACATCATAGTTGGGCAGGCACATTTAGACAGTGCTTGAGCCCACTCAAGACTCATTGCTATCAGGATTCGCTTTGAGAATATTCGGAGATAAATGGTATGATCTCCCACTCCCAGGTCACGGAATTTTACTCTTGTGCCTTTTGGGGTTTAGTTTGTTTAGTAGTGTTGTGGTTGTCGTCGTCGTCGTTGTTGTTTGGGGGGGGGGGGGGGGGTCGGGTTTTCAGTAGTCCACTTCCGAAATCTCAGGATTTTGCAGGCCTGCGTTTGGCACGTGGTGGGCAATTTGATCAGCCTGGAATGCCTGGTGCTCGATATAGCCACAGTGGTTCGTCGGCAATAGCTCCCTCTTCCGGTGGATGCGAAATAATTCAAATTATAATACATGTACATAAACTAAAGCGAGTATTGTTGATGTACCCTAACGTGGCGCGGCCCCTAACGTGGCGCACTTTTATTTTTCGCCTGTAGCGCCTAGCTAGAGCAAAAGTTTTAACTGAAAATAAAATGAAAGTGAAATTTCATCAAGTTCTAAACACTCCCGTTCATAAATCGCGAGTTTATTTACCCGTTACAAAGTTAAAAGAAAAAATTATTTTGGCGTGATTTTCCGATTTTATTTTCAAGTGCAAAGTGAACCCTTTGAAAATGCCCCGAAAAATAAGAAAATAATTTTCTGACAAACATCTGGCTGGGTTTGTAAGTAAAGATAGTAATGATTTATCAGAATTTATCAAGTTTACAGAAATTCTTAAATGTTAATTTGGAATTTTCTGAGATTTATTCAAGTGCGCCACGTTAGGGAACCTCCGCCAATTTTTGCCCAATTTCCGGACGCGACCGTTTTTGCATTTCGGATTAAATTTTATGAAACCGAAATTGTTCACAGAGGTTAAATAGCAAGCATTAAAAAGGTAAAAGTACCAGCATTTCACTGCATGAATTTGAGGTTTATCAACAAAGAGGTTTGGCAACACTACACGAGGAAAGTTGGGTAAGCTTCGAAGTGCGCCACGTTAGGGAACACGACTATAAGTACCATCATGCGGGAAAAAAACTCACCAACTTGAGGAATTTCGGAGTGGCCAGAACACGACGGGTCACCAATGCTATCTTTTGTGTGGGGGATTATTAAGACTATCTCATCAATGTCTGAGATGCAATGGCTGATAATAGCAATGCCAACATTGGCTCGGGTTCTTATTTGAAAGACTCGTCTACACAGATGGTCTACAAAGGGTTAAAAAAAAACCGGGGGCAAATTATAATAAGTACTGAACGGTACGCGTAATTTTTATTCCTAGGAGGGTTAGGGGCAATGTCATGAATAATTCATGTTTATCCATGAGAACGGACAATGTCATCAACAGTATTGTTGTTAGTTACTCAACTAGTTACAATACATCAAAGCATTTTAAAGAACGGTTGTCGTCGAGCTACCACACAGTAGCCTAGTGGATAGCGAGATGAACTATGGATACAAAGATCCCTGGTTCGAATCCACGTCGTCGCTGCTCATTTTCATCAGCTATTTTTCTTCTCCAAATTTATCACTGAGATAATTTTAAATTAAGGGGAAAACAGAACGAGAACCTAAGTCTTGCAATGATTCAAAGGAAAAACTGAATTATTCATGACATTGCCCCTAACCCTCCTAGGAAAAAAATTACGCGAACGGAACGAACTCAACCTCGTCCCCAGTGCTTACTTTATTTCCAACACGGTTTCCAATAGTAAACCCTGGATAGGAAACTTTCTTCCTGTATCCTGATTGGATACCGCAATTGGCTAGTAATGGATTTTTATCGTGTACTTGGTGCTATTATATTCACAACGTGCAGTACGTGTTTTCGAGATCATTCGTCCACGCCTTCTCGAAAGTACTAATTTCCTTTCTAATTTGCTCATATTAATGTAACGATATGGGTTTTGGGTTTAAAATAATGAATAATTCATAAGGAGCATGAATAATGCAATGTTATTTTCTGGCTGTTCCTTTTAGTGTACTTACCCCGCCAGCCTAATTGCCCAAGTTAACAAGTTTGGACATATGTTCGTCGACATTTAGGTCATTTGATAATTCTATCTTGAGAATGATTATTTGGTAACAGTATGTCATCATCATTGTCAGTAATCAAAGTCAACACTCCTTCTGAGTCAATTTTATGCGCGACGAGGGGTTGTGGTCATTGCATTACGGTAAGAGCGCTACCGCTCACATGGTTTGTCCTCTTGCGAGCGGGCCGTGAAAGAAGCTCAGACCGAGCCAACCTTTGTCTAAAAGTCGCCCACTTTTCCCTCATTTTGGGGGTAAGTTGGATTCTAATTAAGTATTGAGTAGATCAGGTAAGGGACATAGAAGAGGTTGGTTGATATGATTATTGTCAAACTGATTGATTCTTATAGTTTTTAGGGTGTTAGTTTCGTGTGGAAGTGTCAAAACTTTTCTAGAGTTGAATGACCGTTTTCGTACACATTCACGCACAATGCATTATATAATGGCGACATTGAGTTCAGCATTGTGTACATTCAGTACGTGGTGTGCGTATGCACAGCACAACGTTGAATCTCGACCACACTGTGGAATTAGACCTACTCGCTTTATTTCGAAATGTTGTTCGTGTATGTCGCATTGTTTATTGGTGCAGGGGACCTTTTATGATAGAAGCTATTTCCTTAAATATGTTCCCCGTGTATGCTATTTGTATTTTTATGTATTTTAATTTATAGCTGAGACATTGCTGTCACAAGCTTTGAAGGTTGACATCTCAAGTGCATTACAGGCCTTCTCTATTTTATATCAGGGTAAGACTGTAATTCTCTTTGTATGCTTGATTAAGTAGTCATCCTATTTAGTATTATTTTGGAGTGATCATGACACTGTCTACAAAACAACCATATTACTTATAGTTTATGCTGTGTAATTAAAATAACTGTTGTTTATAATATTAATGTAATCCAATGACTTTGGAACAAGACTTACAAAAGTTTAAGATCAATTCATTTTATTCATGGTCAACAGGGTCTTCTTTTATGGTCTTCATTGTCGTCTTATTGGAATCTTTATTCGGATCTTCATTTGGATTATTTTGTATAATTGGAGAAAGTGAATTAAATTAAAACTTAATCAAGTGAATCAGTGTAAACAACCGTCTGAGTGTTCCAGTTCAATTCTACTTGCTTTCCACCTTACTCTATCTTCATGAGGGTGAACCTGACCACCCTTATCATCGTTGGGGTTGCCACCTCGCGACATTAATATGAAATATGATACTGCATGTTGTCTCGATAAGATCGTAACAATTTGATTTCAAAGATCGTGTTTTCGTAACTCACGCCGTGCTCGCGCTGCTACGAATTGACTCTGTTTTTACCCCAGATACCGCATACAAAAACAAACGCTAATGTGTAACGCATATCCAGGCACCAGACTGTTCCTCATTTGCATACGTGTGCAAAAATCTTGCACATGCAAATGATCCAATACCAGGGTGAGAGAGCAGGTAGTGGTGGGCGCGTACTGCTCGACACCCTGGGGACGAGGTTGGTACGAACTCCGTTCAGAAACATTCGGCATGCAAATCCCTTAGATTGAGTAATGCGCGTTTCAGAATCGAGGTCGGGAACGTATGTGTATGCGGTCATCATTTAGTCGAGTAGGCCCTCACAATCAATGGTACGTACACACCATACTAAGCAGCGACTGAGGCAAAAGTTGAACACTCGACTATGGCACGATACCCGACTGTGGTCAAGGCATTGATTTGCTTTTGCACTATTTCATTATTACTTTACCTCACCTTGCTCCCTGGTTTCTCCAAGTACGATGAGCCTCAGCAGAACATACCGTCACCGAAGCGACAAGCGGATCATACCGCCGATGCACGACCCGAGACCGATCTCAGTGCAACACACGGCTATTCCCTGACACTAACAATCCGCATGGCAGCCATACCCAAACTGGTTCAGCGTCTGTACTGCATATTCATCCGTTCGGCTACGTTGTTTTGGTCTCCCAAGCTAGGCCCAACTATAAGCCTGATTCTTGACAAGGAATCGGCAAGAGATCATCGGTTTGCACGTAAACTGAGACAAAAGGAGAAAGAGCTGGGCCTGAAGTTTGACTTCCTGTACGAGCCTCTCCCTGATACTGCCTCCGGATGGAAACCTCAAGGCTACCAACGTCAACTGTGGAGTAGTTTCTTCATGGATCTATCCGTTAATGCTTCCATCATTGGCTGGACTGATTCGGACGCGGTGTTCACGACGCCAGTGACTCCGGAAAACATCTTCAACGGCCATCGATTGCGGGTGTTAACTTTCACTGACATGAAGCGCATGCACAAACTACGCTGGTACGACTCCACGCTGAAGGCCATCGGGAAGGCAATGGTTTCTGACTTCATGACGTACTTTCCTACCTTCGTCTGGAGAGACACCTTCACCAACTGCAGGAATCACATAATGAAGCACATGAACGTAAGCCAATGATTAATACCTAATAATCACGAAATAATCTAGCCCCATAAATGTGGCCAATTTACTGGACTACCTCCGTAAATAAAGGCCACACTTCCACCATGTACAAAAACATGTCGAACTTTGTCAAATTTTGATTTTCACATTTATGCTTAGTTTGTAGTTTATTTTTGCTTTAGAAGCATACTCACCCTCTTTATAGGCTAATCAGAAAGTGCTGCCGTTTTCAGATGTCTATTTTTCGTGAAATTTCCAGATTCGTTTGCACACATTTGCATATCAAAATTTCAACATGAAATTTCACGAAAAATAGACATCTGAAAAGGGACTCGGACTTGAGAGAGGTGGCTCGGACTCGGACTCAATGTTTGGTGACTCGAATACAATTAAGACTGATAGCTTGTGACAAATTTTGCTTAAGACTTAATAACTTGTGGTGGGCTTGGTTAGGACTTGTGAGACTAAGAATAGATTCGACTTTAACCTCCATGAAATTTCTTTTGCAGGTCTCTCACTTTGAGGATGCCTTTCTCCAGCTGGCCCACTTGAGCCCCGTCAACATCATCATGAACTACGCCTACTACTTCGAGCACGACCGTTACGACTGGCACTTGGATTTCAAGAAGACTTTGAAGAACTATAATGCGAAGCTACCTCCAGGTGTAAACATAAAACCGAGTGAGAATAAACCAGATTTACATGTCACCATCCACGAGAGCTACTACACTAAGATGCCCTACCCATTACTGCAGGGATATTGCGTAGCCAAGCGCTATGTTGGTACCCTTCCCACAAGCTGCCAGAAATTTGAAAATGTCACCAACTTTCAGCTGTTCGAGTTTATCTCTTGCAAGAAAGCTGTGAAGGCCCATCTGAGTCCCGGGACCTGGTGTTCGGGCAACGGGCGCCGGGAGTGTATTCGACGCATCGAAGCGCACTACAAGAACGTCAAGAAATATTACAATCTTGGATGGTATGACCTGGATCTGAGGCGAATGACTGCCGTTGAAAAGGTAGCCAGGCGGGAAAATATCACATGTCCAAATATATTCCAATTAGATTAAATGCAGTTTCATAGTTTTAACTTCCCGATCCAAAATAATCGGTACAAGTTAATAAGCACCGCCACTGCCGCTGGAACAAACTTTTGCCATGGGGTGCTGGAATAAAGGGCGGATAAAATTAATGCGAAAGCGGAGCGCAAAGCCCTTACATCGTGGCTTAATTTGAAATATAGATGCTGTGTGGTGCAATCTGGGGGCGATTCCTGGCCACTTTCATTAGACTTTTTTTAGCAAAAGTTTTTTGAGATTATGAAGACAATTTATTTCATTATTTTGTTTAGAATGTACAAGTTGCTCTAATAACGTTTAACTGTACTGAAAGTGGAGAAAGTGGTTCCATTTCATTCTGGAAAAAGAATTGTATCATTATGCAAGACATCGCATGTAAATATTATTGTTGCAAGGCTGCTTTCTTACATTTAGTAAATTCCTTCGTGTATGTTTTGTTTTATTACGGCGTGGGGCCACAGGGCCAGGGGCCGCTTTAGTTCTGTCTCACCAAACGATGTAGCTCTCGATATATTTGCAGTTTTCTTTGTTTGTTACACAGAGAATGGCAAATATAAAACACTAAAAGACCAAATACATCTTTATGTTTATGCTCGGTAGATAGCAAGTTTGGGGTTAGGCAAGGATTTATCGGTATACTGAGAATTTATGAGAAAAACAACTTGCAGAGGTAATGCATGAATAGCTTTTTTATTAAAACGAAACTACACTGGAATTGGCGTAAAGCATGACTAGTTTCAATAAAAAAACGTCCCACTCCTTTTAGCCTGGGGATGCGTCACGGTTAACCTTGCTCTTTGTTAATCTCGAGTACTAGCAACGTCAATTAAACTTTAAACTGAACAGAAAAACTTCAGGGGAAAAGTGCATTTGCCCCTATTGAAAGATAGAATGAAAAGAATCCTGGCAAGCATTATCAACTTTGCCACCATTGTCATGGCCGAGGTTATTGCTTTCGGGTCAAAGCTTCCATCGTGGCGGAAATATCATACATGTCATGATTTTAGATACATTGAGAGAAATATCGATTCTGCACTGCCTGAAATTTAGAAAATACCTCCTCCTGATATTTTACAGTGTTACTTTGTGCTAGACGTTCGAAGCGCCGCGACTTTTTTAGCAAACGTTTTTTTGAGATTATAAAGACAATTTATTTCACGTTTTTGTTTAGAATATACTGTTGCTCTTATAACGTTTCTACTGTACTGAAAAGTCGAAAACCTTGTATTTTTATCTCCATTCTTTGTTCCATTTAATTCTGGACAAAGAATTGTATCATTATGCATGACATCGCATGTGAATAATATTGTTTCTAGGCTGCTTTCTTACATTTAGTAAATTCCGTCGTGTATGTTTTGTTTTATTTTCCGAGCCCTTACGGCGTGGGGCCACAGGGCCAGGGGCCTGCTTTAAGGCCCCTGAAAATTTTGGATTCTGGATGCACTGTGATGAAATATACTGAAGTATATACTTAAACTTCTAAAACCCGAAAGGGTGTTTTTTGGTTCAAGTTAAAACAAAATGGTTCCACTGGAAGCGGGTGAATTTCTGTTCATAAAAATATTCACATAGGCCTAAACGATGTAGCTCTTGATATATTTGCAATGTTATTTGTTTGTTACAGGGAATGGCAAATATAAAAGACTAACAGACCAAATGCATCTTTATGTTTACGATCGGTAGGTGGCAAGTTTGGGGCTAGGCAAGGATTTATCGGTCTACTGAGTTTTTATGAGAAAAACTTGCAAAGGTTAACACATGAATAGCTGTTTTATTAAAACGAAACTACACTGGAACTAGTTTCAATGGAAGCCCGTCCCACTCCTATTAGGTTGGGATTTGTGTGAACCTTGATATTTGTTAATGTTGAGTACAGAATGCTAGCAACGTCAATGAAACTTTTAAATGAAAAGAAAAACCATCAGGGGAAAGGTATGAACTTTGCCCCTATTGAAAGATCGAATGAAAAAATCGTGGCAAGCATTATCAACTTTGCCACCATTGTCATGGCCGAGGTTATTGCTTTCGGGTCAAAGCTTCCATCATGGCGGAAATATAGACATGTCATGATTTTGGATACCTTGAGAGAAACATCGATTCTGCACTGCCTGAAGATTTAGAAAATACCTCCTCTTAATATTTCTTGACCTCCAGAATCATCGCTCAATTAGCAGACCCATCGCTCAATTAGCAGACCCATACTTGAATACGCAGCTCCAGTCTGGTGCCCTGTTCTTTCGACTCAGCAAAAACGCTAGAGAAGGTACAGAGGCGATTCACCCGTTTTTGTTTGGGTCTGCCGAGAAGGGTTTTAATTGATTCTGTAAATGAAATTGAATATTCAGACAGGTGTGTCAAGCTGGGTCTGCCTCTTTTAATCAACAGGGTTCATTTCCTTTCAATTACGTTTGTTATTAAATGTTTATATAATAAATTTGACATTGACACTGACACTCTAATTCCCATTAATTGTAGACATATCGAATCTGTTAAATTTGTCCATCATCGGGCTCGTTCCAATGCTGCCCATCATTCTCTTTTTCACAGATTCCCTAGATTATGGGATGAACTACCGGCCTTCATTAAAGATACAATTATCCATAGTTTATCCTCCTTTACAAATTCTCTCAGAAATCATTTATTAGTCCCTGGCCAGGAAGTCCCCTTGACCAAAACAGTTTAACTTTCTAGTTGCCTTGCCCATTCAAATACCTTGCTGCTTGTTTTTTTCCCTCAATTTTATAGTGCCTTTTGCATTATAATTCACTCGAATCTCTCTTTTACCGAATTTGTATTTTTTAATGCCCATTTGTGCTTTTAAAGTTTTAACTGCTTGTATAGTTCTATATTCTTATACTGTAAGCCATGTTTTAATAATGTCCATTTGTAATGTCCTTTTGTATTGTCTCTTCTTAAATTGTGGCATCAGGAGATTAACTTGATAGTAATTTAGTTTACTTTTTTAAAATCCATCAGGGGTGCTACTTCTTTTTTTTTTTTTTCTTGTTCTCTCTCCTAACTGTATGTGCATGTTTTTGTTTTCTTTACTGTATTGTCTGTACTTGAATTTTTACCTGTGAAATTAATAAATGAAATAAATGAAATGAAATGAATTCAGCGGGCGCCTTCTTTCAGCAACCCATTTTTGTAAAATTACAAAAAACATGGCAGCCAATTGACCAATCAGCAGCTTAGGCTTCAACGCGGCAAAATAATGCAGTCAGGCAAGATGGCGTCGATCGGTCACCCCCACTGATCTCATTGCCGGTGAGGGGGTACTTGTGAACGGAGCGGATAGCTGCAAAGTGTAGAGAATCTCTAAGCCATGAAAACGCGTAACAAAAACGTAACCATGCGAAACATCTGGTAACCTATATTATAACACCTCATCCACAGCTTCCTTATCTTGATTGGCCGAGAGCAAGTCACGTGGCATTTGCTATTTTTACGTTTTGCTGTGCACGGCCAAAAGTTCTATGCATACGGGTGTGCGTGTAAAAAGCGCTTCGCTAGTCGCTACAGAATTGGGTTCAAACATTTCGTGAAGGGGTAGTTCAGAAAAGTGCAAGTAAATGTTCAACTAATTTCGTATTCAAATTGAAGTACATGTACATTTTAATTGTATTTAGATTACATTAATCAGTTATCGCTTAAAATCAAGCATAATCTGTCGGCGAGGTGTTATAAAACAAATATTGATGGTGACTGTTTTATCTTGTGGTGTAAAACTAGCCTACCTCGGTGATCCATGTAGCATTTTATTTTTCCTCGGCTTCGCCTCGGGAAAAATACATGTAGAATGCTTCATGGATCACCTCGGGAGGCTAGTTTTACTCACCACTCGAAGCAGTCAATAATTATTTGTATACTATAGGGTGTCCCTCCAAAAAGGTGACCCATAAACTATAATGTGAATAAACTGCGAACTGTATACATGTAAATATGGCTTCATCATAAATGATAGGAAGTATAGCTTTCCATTGATACCTGTGATGAATAATTCTGGTCATGCAACACTGAGTTTCATTGTTTTAAAAATGGTATGTAAAAACCTTCTTGCGACAGTTTGTGTAAAACAGTGTAAACGCAATGTAAGGTAAAGAAAAAACAGCAAAACAGCAAAACACTATATTATGGGACTGACTGCATCCTACGCATTGTATATTTACACCGTCCGATCAGATAGAGCTGTTTCCCTTATGCATAAAGACGTAATTCGATCAAGACAGTGTTCATTATATCGATTATAATCCCTCGGACAATGGCTGTAATTGGCAGCCCACGGCACGGCTGTATACATAAAATAATGTTTAGTCAGTCAATTTCATTGACTTCTTTGGCGTATTATGAAGCTCCCTTTCATGCCGTGCGCTGCCAATTACAGTCTATTGTCCGAGAGATTATCTCACGCAAACAGGTGGCTGTGTTCACTACCGTTACACAACTCGTAGGGACGGCAACTGAAATCATAATGCAACATTTTTATACGCTATATTACAGAGAATCATAGCGACAGGGCCAATCCAACTAATCCTTTGCCTGACAGTAAACTTTCTCGATTTTGTGGGGATGTCTGTACACGTACACGAATTTGCCCGTGTGGATTGCACAATGGACTACCGGGACGAGTCATTCGCAACAAATCTTACGGGTTGCTCCATGCTCCATTCTAGACGATGTTCGCCGTACTCGATAATATTAAACTAAAAGATAAATTCTTCAATTAGACAATCATAATTGTTTCGTACATTTCAATTTACGTAAAATGCATATTTATTATACGTATATTCAATACCATAATAATGGTACACGCCGTTAATTATTTGCATTTACACAAGCCCCTCCGCCCATGGTACTCCCCGTGGTGAATGGTAGATTCCCGTTGCTCATTTTATGCTAATGAGGGTCACGTGGGGCCAAATCCGGCCTTCTGATTGGTCGAAGCCCGTCAAAAATGGGGAAAATATCCTGGTTAGACGGGCTTCACTACTAACACCCATGTATCTTCCAACATCATAGGTGGGCAGGCACATTTAGACAGTGCCTGAGCCCACTCAAGACTCATTGCTATCAGGATTCGCTTTGAGAATATTCGGAGATAAATGGTATTATCTCCCACTCCCAGGTCACGGAATTTTACTCTTGTGCCTTTTGGGGTTTAGTTTGTTTAGTAGTGTTGTGGTTGTCGTCGTTGTCGTCGTTGTCGTCGTCGTTGTTGTTTTTTTGGGGGGATGGTCGGGTTTTCAGTAGTACACTTCCGAAATCTCAGGATTTTGCAGGCCTGCATTTGGCACGTGGTGGGCAATTTGATCAGCCTGGAATGTCTGGTGCTCGATATAGCCACAGTGGTTCGTCGGCAATAGCTCCCTCTTCTGGTGGATGCGAAATAATTCAAATAATAATACATGTACATTGTAACTAAAGCGAGTAAGTACCATCATGCGGGGAAAAAACTCACCAACTTGAGGAATTTCGGAGTGGCCAGAACACGACGGGTCACTAATGCTGTCTTTTGTGTGGGGGATTATTAAGACTATCTCATCAATGTCTGAGATGCAATGGCTTATAATAGCAATGCCAACATTGGCTCGGGTTCTTATTTAAAAGACTCGTCTACACAGATGGTCTACAAAGGGTGAAAAAAAAACCGGGGGCAAATTATAATAAGTACTGAACGGTACGAACTCCGTTCAGAAACATTCGGCATGCAAATCCCTTAGATTGAGTAATGCGCGTTTCAGAATCGAGGTCGGGAACGTATGTGTGTGTGGTCATCATTTAGTCGAGTAGGCCCTCACAATCAATGGTACGTACACACCATACTAAGCAGCGACTGAGGCAAAAGTTGAACACTCGACTATGGCACGATACCCGACTGTGGTCAAGGCATTGATTTGCTTTTGCACTATTTCATTATTACTTTACCTCACCTTGCTCCCTGGTTTCTCCAAGTACGATGAGCCTCAGCAGAACATTCCGTTACCGAAGCGACAAGCGGATCATACCGCCGATGCACGACCCGAGACCGATCTCAGTGCAACACACGGCTTTTCCCTGACACTAACAATCCGCATGGCAGCCATACCCAAACTGGTTCAGCGTCTGTACTGCATATTCATCCGTTCGGCAACCTTATTTTGGTCTCCCAAGCTAGGCCCAACTATAAGCCTGATTCTTGACAAGGAATCGGCAAGAGATCATCGGTTTGCACGTAAACTGAAACAAAAGGAGAAAGAACTGGGCCTGAAGTTTGACTTCCTGTACGAGCCTCTCCCTGATACTGCCTCCGGATGGAAACCTCAAGGATACCAACGTCAACTGTGGAGCAGCTTCTTCATGGATCTATCCGTTAATGCTTCCATCATTGGCTGGACTGATTCGGACGCGGTGTTCACGACGCCAGTGACTCCGGAAAACATCTTCAACGGCCATCGATTGCGGGTGTTAACTTTCACTGACATGGAGCGCATGCACAAACTACGCTGGTACGACTCCACGCTGCAGGCCATCGGGAAGGCAATGATTTCTGACTTCATGACGTACTTTCCTACCTTCGTCTGGAGAGACACCTTCACCAACTGCAGGAATCACATAATGAAGCACATGAACGTAATGATTAATACCCAATGATTAATACCTAATAATCATAAAATATTCTAGCCCCATAAATGTGGCCAATGTACAAAAACATGTCGAACTTTGTCAAATTTTGATTTTCACATTTAGGCTTAGTTTGTAGTTTATTTTTGCTTTAGAAGCATACTCACCCTCTTTATAGAAAAATCAGAAAGTGCTGCCGTTTTCAGATGTCTATTTTTCGTGAAATTTCCAGATTCGTATGCACACATTTGCATATCGAAATTTCAACACGAATTTTCACGAAAAATAGACATCTGGAAAAGGCAGCACTTTTTGATTAGCCTATAAAGAGTGTGAGTATGCTTCTAAAGCAAAAATAAACTACAAACTAAGCCTAAATGTGAAAATCAAAATTTGACAAAGTTCGACATGTTTTTGTACATGGTGGAAGTGTGGCCTTTATTTACGGAGGTAGTCCAGTAAATTGGCCACATTATGGGGTTAGAAATAATCTTGACTCTGACCTCATTCTAGCCCCATAAATGTGGCCTATTTACTGGACTGCCTCCGTAAACATAGGCCACACATCCACATGTACAAAAATCGTGTCGACGGAGCCAAATTTTGATTTTCACATTTAGGCTTAGTTTGTAGGGTTTTTTTGCTTTAGAAGCATACTCACCCTCTTTACAGGCTAATCAGAAAGTGCTGCCTTTTTCAGATGTATATTTTTCGTGAAATTTCCAGATTCATTTTTACACGTTTGCGTATCAAAATTTTAACATGAAATTTCACAAAAATTAGACATCTGAAAAAGGCAGCACTTTCTGATTAGCCTATAAAGAGGGTGAGTATGCTTCTAAAGCAAAAAAACCCTACAAACTAAGCCTAAATGTGAAAATCAAAATTTGGCTCCGTCGACACGATTTTTGTACATGTGGATGTGTGGCCTATGTTTACGGAGGCAGTCCAGTAAATAGGCCACATTTATGGGGCTAACCTCATTCCAGTGCCACCCTAAATGCTTTGCCCTTAAAATTGAGAGACGGTTTTGAGACTGGGGCTAAATCGTTCATTCCATATAGATTCTCCTTCCAACGAGTCGCAATAACTGTATATTTAAACCCAAAAGGCCCCTTGTACACACTGCATTAATTCTAACAAAAAATATATATATTACTTCCTGATTTCTAACAAACGAAGATTGACACATTGAACATATTTCATGTGTAAGAGTTTCCTTGTTCAAAATGTTCAAACTCATTTAATCCTTACTTATCGGGCCAGATTTCCATTGTCTTCTTTTTGTGAGATGTCCGTTTGTTAGAAAGCTCATACTTTGTCGGCTGCTTAAAAAAATTAGCGACTCAACTTGAAAAGGTTAACCATCAGGCATATCCAGAAAAGCAGCGTAGTGGGCCAAAAGTTGGAAACTCTTCGTTAATTGGGCCCAAAAAAATATCAATACATTTTGTTACATTTTTACGTTCGTTTTGTCTTATGATTGATTTAACCATGGATTATCTTTATTGATTTCATATTATTTTTTTTAAGTTGATTTGCCAGAAATGGTGTTGTATGTAGCCTAGTCCATCGCAAGTCCGGTTACAAGATCTTCAGATCGAATACTTAATGGCAATAACAACGGAATGTTGTTTGTCACAGTTCATTTTTAGCTTGCAGACTTGTATGACTCGTGACTCGGACTGGGACTCGAGTCCGACTTGAGTCCCATTTTCCGTGACTCGGACTCGAGTCACGATGACAAAATGACTCGGACTCGGACTCCACCCTGCGGTCTCGGACTGACTCGGACTCGACCTGCGTGACTGAGGACTCGATCAAAATACCACATAACATCACCTCTTTTTTCGACAATATAATTGCAAACTGCTTTGAAGACGGTCCTCTCCTGAGCAAACAATGCAGTCTGTGCGGTGCAGATGAAACGCATCTAAGTACCGTATACATGACATCGCTTGCGACTGGCTTGTTTCCGACGTCTACACTTGATGATTGCGTAAATGCAAGCTTGACTGTGTTCGATACCATTATTATCCTTTCCAGACACCGTCCAGTTATTTAAATAAATGGAGAAAAGCTGTGCAAAAAAATGGAAACGTTTACACTGTGAGGTTTTAGCAGTGCCTCAGACTTTATTTCCATTATACATTAAAGGTGACTCGTCACTCGGACTCGGCGGATTCGACCAGCATGACTCGGGACTCGGACTTTAGAGAGGTGACTCGGACTCGGACTCGGACTCGGACTCGATGTTAGGTGACTCGAATACAATTAAGGGCCAGCGTCCTTAATAATTTACTCTGCGCGCCGCGATCCACTTCACTGCGCCGACTAGCGCCGGAGAGCGCCGTGCTCACGGCCTCCCTAGCCCCGCCGATGCCCGGTGCTGTGCGGCGCTGGAGGAAAACACGCATAACAATAGGCGTTACGGCCGAACGCACTTCATACACCGTGGATACACACGGCCCGCCTCGGCGCGCCGGCAGTGAGTTCTTGAGTTAAAATGTATATTGTGCATGATCTTCACTTTGTATTGGAATTCTACGAATGTACATGTATAATTTGTGAACAGCTGTTGACTGAAAAGCATTTTCAGACTATCAGACACCGAGCTCAGTAGTTCCCAATATGAACATGATGATGAGAATACTTGCGGCAATCCGGCGATTGGTTCCGAGAACGGAAACAATTCCCAGCTTTTATAGCTCCACGGATAAACACAATATCTGATAGCTTGTGACATATTTTGCTTAGGACTGAATAACTTCTGGTGGACTTGGTTAGGACTTGTGAGACTTAGGATAGATTCGACTTTAACCTCCATACAATTTCTTTTGCAGGTCTCTCACTTTGAGGATGCCTTTCTCCAGCTGTCCCACTTTAGCCCCGTCAACATCATCATGAACTACGCTTACTACTTCGAGCACGACCGTTACGACTGGCACTTGGATTTCAAGGAGACTTTGAAGAGCTATAATGCGAAGCTACCTCCAGGTGTAAACATAAAACCGAGTGAGAATAAACCAGATTTACATGTCACCATCCACGAGAGCTACTACACTAAGATGCCCTACCCATTACTGCAGGGATATTGCGTAGCCAAGCGCTATGTTGATATCCTTCCCACAAGCTGCCAGAAATTTGAAAATGTCACCAACTTTCAGCTGTTCGAGTTTATCTCTTGCAAGAAAGCTGTGAAGGCCCATCTGAGTCCCGGGACCTGGTGTTCGGGCAACGGGCGCCGGGAGTGTATTCGACGCATCGAAGCGCACTACAAGAACGTCAAGAAATATTACAATCTTGGATGGTATGACCTGGATCTGAGGCGAATGACTGCCGTTGAGAAGGTAGCCAGGCGGGAAAATATCACATGTCCAAATATATTCCAATTAGATTAAATGCAGTTTCATAGTTTTAACATCCCCACCCGAAATAATCGGTACAAGATAATAAGCACTAATAAGCACATCTTATAATAATCATAATAATAAGCACTGGTTGTTTAGTTGTAGTGCCTGTTGGAATATCACTACTATTGACAGTGTATCACTACTATTGACAGTGTGAGATACAAGTAAACGGTCAATAAAAAAAATACCCAATGGCCAACATCGTATTCCAAGCAAATTGTAAATATAAATCGTATATGACAATATTGAGCCTAGTTCCCATATCGAGGTAAGAAGCACGCAGAGAGCAACGCAAACAAGACCCAAAATGCAACGCAGAAATAATGGAAACATTTCTATCCGCAAATGTCGCCGACAACCCAAACAGACGCAAACTATATCGCAGACGATCGGCAAAGGTCAACTTTGCCGACTGTTCTGCGCACTGTCTGAGAAGTCTGCGCAGTCTGCATAAGCTTAACGTCGATATTGAAACTCGGCTGAAACACTGCTACAAGTCTCTTTCAAATTAATACCAACTTACAACGTGTGGAATTCGTAAGAGGGAGTGTCTAATGTCTGTTGTTTGCAGAAGTAGAGCATGCAGTCGCAAATCGAAACAGAAGAAGAATGTCTTCTGAACTAGGCAGTCAGTTTCGGGTCCGCTCATAAGTCCGACGCCTCATAGGTCCGACGCCTCATAAGTCCGAAATTTAGGACGTATGAGGCGTCGAACGTATGAGGCATAACAGTTATGTATTCCGCCTCATAGGTCCGACGCCGCATAAGTCCGAAACAGCGTTTGTCTATTGTCGGACTCATGAGGCGGCGGACTTATGAGGCGGATTTATGCCTCATAAGTCCGACGCCTCAATTTTGGGCTTATGAGGCGCCGGACCTATGAGGCGTCGGACTTATGATACGGCCCCGTCAGTTTGTAGGCATTAATGCAGTTACTTTGTTCGAGTTATGGAATGTATGCAGCGTACCTTGGAACAAAGCTAACATGAATTCAGATGTCTTTTGGTAAGACTGGAATAAAGCGTACTAATGTGACATAGGAATAATCCGACTTGGTATTCTTTTTTTTTCTCTGGAATAATCTGTAACATGGCAGCTATATATTTCTGGATGTGACACAGTGTACAGTTCTTGTTGAACCCATAAATATTTACACTTTTATAATCACAATAAGGTTGAGTTAAGCTTGGCTCCAAGCTGTTGGACAAACGCGAAACGAGTCCTGCACCCTTGCATCTGATCTTCTTACGTGTACAAAATAATACTCAGCAGGCGCGTAGGAAGATGATTTTAACAGGGGGGGGGGGCAGATTATATTTTGTGAAACAACAGCGCACCCAGGATTTTGTCTTCGGTGGGTTCAAAGAAAAAAATACTCTCACAAATTAACTAGGCCTTTAGCAGGTGCGGTTCCAGGATTTTTTTAGACGGGGGGGGGGGGGGGGGGGGGGGGGCACACCTTTGGAGCAATTTTGTTCCGAGAACTAATGCGAGCGCGGAGCGTGAAGCCTTTACAGCGTGGGGTCCGGGGTCCACTTAAGAGCCCCGAAAAATGTTGGATTCTATAAATGCTCTGTGGTGCAATCTGAGGAGAATCCTGGCCCCTTTCCCCTGAATTATTTGAGCAAAAGTTTGTAAGATTATAAGGATTTTTTTCATTGGTTTAAAATATAGGCCTACTCTTGCTTTTACAAACCTTTTAAGTTTCTTCTGTTCTTCACTTGATAACCATGTATTTTCGTCTGCATAATTATATTTGTGCATTTTATTTTTGAAAAGGAATTGTACAGACTTAGTTTGTAAACTGTTGCAAGAGTGTTTTCTTATGTTTTGTTTCAAGTTGAAATTTTCAGTTCATCAATAAGAAAAAACGGCTTGAAGATGTAAATGAATTCAAGTTTAAAATTAGTGTAATTTAGGAAAAAGGAAAAACGAATCAATTTGAAATATGCACGAACCACGTAAAAATTTTAGCCCGGACAAATTGCCCCATTGGTTTAAAATGTTTATGTTATTGTTAAAAATTTAAACGATTATAGTGCGATTTCATGAGACATCATAATAAAATAATTTTGGCAGAAAAAAAAGTGGCATGAGATTAAAAGAAATCCACCCTGCCGCCAGGCCGAAAAAAAGGAAAAATAAACAAAATATCTGCAATGAAATTTCCACCTCCGCTGTGGTTTGATTTAATAGTCTACACACTGCAATTCTATTCCTCGAAAAACGCAATTTATGAAAGGTTTGTATTTTTATTTTTTTTTTATTTTTTTTTTTAGGGGGAGCCCGGCCCCCATCATATTTTCAGCGAGGGCCATTGGCCCCCGCGGCCCCCCGCCCGCCCTCCCCCCCCGGTTCCTACGTGCCTGCTCAGGTAGACTTGAAACTTGCATCTAAACAAGTGGAACATTGACGGACTCTACCTCCTGATAAAGTCCTATCATAAATAAAGGTGACGGATAAACAGCTGGTCAAAAAAGCATGTTAACTTAATTCACACGTGACGTCACACTTGTTTGTCACCCCGAACCCATTTTTGTCTCCTTTCTGATCGGTGTTTCGTCATTGATAATGGGCGCGGCATCGATACGGACATCAGTTTCAATGAGAGAATAAAATACGCCTTTTATTTTTTAAAGTTTAAAGCGGCCGATGTTTAAAATGTATACCTGCATTCGGTTTATGAACTGATACACGCTCAGTTTGTCAACATACCTTCCATTAAAAACAAATGTAATCGGTCTATAAAGATATCCACTCCTTTTTTTTTTAAAATACATGAAAACATGGGGCACACGCGGAACAACACTTGCCGAGAAACATATGCGTTCATTCAAGGGGCACTGCGTCCTGGAACAGCCCAATTGGGCTACAAAACGCGCTTTGAACAAAATGATGTTAATCGGAAAGAACATTTGAAAGTAGAATATAAACATCCACACAACTATCCTTTAAAAACTGGGCATTTTTGTGTTATTCCTGTATGCGTGCGAGAACGACTTTCGGGGTCCACTTCATCGGTTCTACGTAGGCTATAGGCCCCTACCCGTTGTCATGGCATAATCATAGGCAGGCTTATGGAACGTAGCCACACTGCTGTACTATAGCAGATACTCTAAATGACAGTACCTATGGCATTTGCCACCGTACTTTACAGAGCTAATGTCTAACTCACCTCGTTTCAGTATCAGTTAATGAGTCTTTATTGAATCATTCAGGGGAAAAAATTGCAAGCGTCATTGATCGCAAGGATAATGGACGGTGAGAGACGCCTACTCCAGTTCAGTGGTTCAATATTTATAATTTGTTTTATTATTTTACCTAAAAATGGCATTAGGCCTATGGAGATGATGAATAATCAATGGGTATCTTAGCTCAAGGACTAAAACATAATTACCGAAGGTCAAAGCTATACATGGATAGTAAATTCCCCTATCTGAAATTCGAATGAAGTCGAGAAATAGGGGCTTATCTCTCATTATAATTAGCTACAGACTGCAGACACGACCAGGGTGGCCTGTCACGGACTCATTTGTACATCTTTAGTTGATAGCTTTTGTTTTAAGTGAAGGCATATAAAGAATTTACTTGCGTCACTTGGACTTCAGATCGGAATTAGTTCCTATGCTATACCCACGTACGCTGCCACTGAGCGGCTTCGCGCACGCGCAGTGTTCTTGTTTCGTGTGTGCATAGTTGAAGTTGTCGGATGAGCAAAGATCATTAGGTGCAAGAAACGAGCGAGACCACAATAACGTTCCTGTGTTCCAAGTGAAGGTAAGTTTAAGCAAATCATTGTGACTTTTGTAACTTCACATTTTTTTCGCCACTAGAAAAAAAAATGACAATGATGATTTCAACACAGTGGTTAATAGCAACTGATGTAACATTCTCGATGCTAAACCAGCCATCACGGAGAATTAAAGAGTAAGTTTTATTCTCAATATGTTGATGATCACATAAAATGTATTTCAAAGAAAGTGCTGGCCTATAGTTTCAAAATTTTAAATTTAAGGGTCCACCATTATGCACAGTACAGGTAGCCCCTCCATCGTTTAGTAATACTGAGGGCGTATACACGTTTAAAGGGAATATACAACATTTGCCAACATCGAAAAATGAAACTACCAAGTTTTTACAAAATACCTTACTAGTCTTAAGCATCCTGTAAAATTATGGCACCTGGTGTGAAGTCATTTTCAAGAAAATGGTATTTATTTTTCAACTACTGCTACAAATTTTGTTAACTATTGGTTACATGTTCATGAACGGGTGCAGGTCAGCTAGACTGGTTCCCTTACCTTACAATTTTCCGGCATCTATAAATGGATCCATTTTTATCTTTAGTGGAGTCATGGAACCAGACTACTTGAACATTTTTGGGGGTTTGGGGGTTTTTTTTTGCAGCATTTTCGATCACAGAACTTCAAACATGTCAGTGTAACAATATTTTATCTATTATACTAACCCCTCAAATAGTTCATCTCTGAAAATTACAGCAAAAGCCAATGGTGTACATTCCCTTTAATCATGGTTAGGTTTGACTCGTTGTGGTTCTCAGTTCTCTACATACGTTTATAATAAATCACATTATTAATTAGGCCTCTTCATGATCATTTACGGCTACTGGTTGGAAATGGATCCATGTTTCTGGGTACACAAACAAAATAAGGGTTTTTTTGGAAACCGTTGCCGCTACCAACAGCAACAGCTATTCACAACGTCACAACTGTATGCTGCCACACGTAATGCAATGAGGAGAATAAGATCTGTCCCCTTATCCATGTTCGGATTGTATCCAACGAAATTTAAAGTGTCGTTTCATGTCACTTTTCATCTGCCACATGCATACAGCATATATTGGACGACGAAAACAACGATATGCTAATTCAGCCAAAAAGACACTTCCCCTGGCAAAGGTTGGTTGTTTTCCTGGCGAATTTCACATCATTAAAATGTGGTAAGTTGGAGTTAATCTGACTTTGTTGTCCATTTAAACATGGAGAATTATTTCAACATGCTAGTATAACAACTTTGTGATCTTTGTTTTTCGTATGAAATTCAACTTACAGAAAATGAAAAAAGGTTCTTTCAAGATAAACTATCGTGGCGAAATAAGATGTCTAGAATGTTTCTGAGATGTTAGGACATCTTCACTAAGGGACCCATTTTTCTCATATAAATGATGTTCAAAGATGTTATACTGAGAAAAGGAATTTACAAAAGATTATACGTTTCTACAGAAAAGCATCTTTCAAAAGCTGGTTTCTTCGATGAATAAAATACTGCTTGGAAAGACTTTTCCTCACTTCGTTGCTATAGGGAGTACATAATACAATTGACAGAATTTGCCACCAATTATGTATTGCCAGTCCAGCTAACATAACACACCATATGGCTTAACCAGAGAAAAGTCTTGTTAAAAAAAACGCATTATTATGGATGAAACGTGATATGCTAATACCAAAAGCGAAGACATTATTCCGCCCAAATCCCTTTTATCATGAACGTTAATTCACAGGACTAATAAAAAGCATATATTAATTTCTCGTCAATGCACTTTTTAAGTTTCTAAATATTTTGCAAAATGAATGAACCCAGCCGTTTGTGCTTTCAGCCTGTTATTACCATCGATAATGATGTCCTTGGCATTAGTACACGTACGGTGAGCTGGCTCATCGAACACAATTCGTAGCTCGAGTCTTTCAGCTTGATAAATTATAATTTTGAATATGGATGTATTTTAGGCCTATATGTGTTGTTGGGGGTAAGTAATGAAGAATGGTACACTTCAGTATGGGATGTTCATTTTATGGGTGAAATTTTGAATAAGGCCATCACGGACATTACCAAAATACCATACTTTTTTGAATGTCAGACCTCTCAGTCGTGCTGCAAAAAAGTCCCGAATATTCCTAAAATTCATTTAACTACAAAACAAACCAAACTCAAAGTATAAAGTTGTTCAATGTTTTCCCCTGTAATCAAATTGAATGTCTATTTTCCAATATGTTTCGTTCGCGTTGTAAACAGGTTAAGATATTAAACATGTTTAGAGTATTGCTTTATTGTGTAAGTAATTGAACATTGATGTATAGGAATTGTACACGTAATACTCAGCTTCTAAACATGTTTACAAAGTGATAGCAAGATTGTATTTAATGTACCAAGCTAAACACAATATCTTAGTGTACATAGTTACATTTGAACGTTTTGTTTAAATGAAGGGACATAGTCGAAGATAACATAATAATTGGCAAATTGCAAGACACTTGATTCTCATAGAAAGAACGCTCATATAAGAACGCTATATAAGTGCCCTGATTATTATTATTATTATTATAGAAAACTAGCAATAAAAATAAATGCACGCTTCCCCCATGTTGCTAGCCATTTGTGAAGTAAAGCTATGTTTCTTCTCAGAACAAGCCTGCGTTGACAAGGTCATTGTACCTCTCAATGTCAGCGAAGATAAGGATGTCTTGGCAACGACCTTGGACTTCCCCAAGCCTCCCGCCAACTGCACCTCGTCCGTAGTTTGGGAAATCACCTCCGAGGGAAACACGACCGCCAATCCCTGGATATCCGTCCAAATCCTGGATTTCGTGGCTCCGGCGAATGACTCCGATCTTTTCACCGTGGGATTTTCCCTGATCCGTGAGGAAGACGCCTGGTTAGTCCTCTCACAACAAGTGGAACGCCGCATCTTTGTGGGAGTTGAGAACGAGTTGAGTCTGAGAGCCCGGTACTCATTTCCCGATGACTATGATGAACGTTTTAACGGCACTTACATATTTCAGGCACGGCTGACGCTGACAAACGAAACAGGTATATTTTTTTTTCTCAAGAAGACGATCAGAGAGTACTAATCAAAACCTCGATTTAAAAAAGTTTTTTTCTACAAGAAAAATCGTAATGGGAGTATCTGTTGTGGCCACTCTCTCACATTTCGTCATTTCTTTGTTTACTCCGTTCTCAGATTGCGGTGGCGATGTATTTTGCCGGGAAGTGACCCACCGAGAGTGTTACCATCCCGAGGCCGTCTGTGATCGCAAGATCGACTGTTTGAATCAGTGGACGGACGAAACGGATTGCGGTAGGGCATCGAGCATTAATAACGCACTATGGTATAATTCGCCGCCCAGACAATTTATTATCAGCCATTTTGGAGGTGTGCCGGCCGCGAATTTTTTTCTCCCAAACGACATCCGCATATGGGTACGCTACGGCGTTTTGGACTTAACTTTTCTAAAAACATGAGAAGAAAATATAAGATTAGGAAAAAAAATGATTTCACATATTATAAACACCAAATTGGCAGTTGTAATCGAGCAGCCTTTTCAGATCGGGTATCTCAAATTAGTCAAACGTATTAATAAAAAAATTGTAGGTCTTTCCCCTTCGCTCAAAGTGTAGATTATTTTTTACATTCAAGTTTTTATTTCCTCTCGAATCACTCTATAACTAGATCATTGCGGCGATGTATCGACCATTACTGTCACCAACGGCCTGCCGTACGTACTTCAGAAAGACGCCGAGGCATACCCCTATGGCCAGAGCTGCCTGTGGCGCGTAGCTGCCACTGTCGGAAGTCGAATCCGGATCACAGTGAGGGACCTGGACCTCTCAGAGCGGAGCATGTTGATTTTCGGTCAGGGCGACGTGATTAACAAAGAGACGGCTTTCGCGGTATTGTCGGGATCGTACGCAAGACAGACAGTAACATCTAACACCAATGAGGTGTGGATTACATTACAGTCTGTCGAGAGTTCTGATATTCGCTTCGCCATTGAGATTCAATCATTTGAACCCATGCATGCAGGTAAGCGTACTTTGCTGCCCAGTCTACCAAACAGAAAAACTTCATTCTGTTGATTTGTATTGTCTTTAACCAGCATAAAATGTTTTAGTGCCACTAATGAATTGATACAGGTCGGGATTAGCCAATAGGCACAGTAGGCACTGTGCCTAGGGCCTACGAAAAATTCGGGGGGGGGGGGGGACTAGCTACGAAAAAAAATTGGGGCCTACGAAAATACAGCAGTGGGCCATAAAATACATAAATAGGCCTACCCACACACACAAGTGGGAATTTGCTTGCAATCGGGGACCCCCTATATTGTCCCTCTTTTGTTTATCTTTTGAAGAAGCTAGACCTCACATATGTTTGTACAGGATCGCCAAATTGGGGACCGCTCTTATGAGAAGCGATTGACGCCCTTGTTGCCAGCAGGCTTAGAGCTAGGACCTATACTGTTTATCCTGGCTTGACTTTGTGCATTAATAGCACCATCATGGATTTAGTGCCGGTGCCTAGGGCGAAGTAGGGCCTACGTAACACTGGTGCCTAAGGCCTACGAAACACTTAATCCGGGCCTGAATTGATATTTGTCTCATTTCAGAATGCGGTGGACATCAATTTTCTTGTCCACTTGAAGACAACTGTATCCCTCGGGACCAGGTGTGTGATGGCATACCACAATGTCCTCTTCACGGAGACGAGCTTGCCTGTGGTAGGTACAGTAGGTGCAGAGTCTGCTCCAAAACGCACAGAATCAGTTATAGAGTCTCCTGAGAGACTCTCGGTCTCTTCTAAGACTCACAGAGTCTCCTGTTAGACTCTTAGAGTCTCCAGCAAGTCTCATGGAGTCTTCGTTAAGACTCATATAGTCTACTGTGAGACTCTCAGAGTCTCCCGGAGCCTTCTGCAAGACTCACAGAGCCTCCTGTTAGACTCACAGAGTCGCCTGCTAGACTCACATAGTCTCTGTTAGACTTATAGTCTCCTGGTAGACTCAGAGTCTCTTGGTGGCTCAAAGCGTCTTCTGCTAGACTCACGGATTTTTCTTCTGCTAGAATCAAATAGTCTGTTCTAGACTCACATACTCTCATACGGGACTCTCAGAGTCTCCTCCTAGACTGACATAGTCTCCTGTGAGACCCAGAGTCGGGGGATCGCAGAGTGTCCTATTAGGCTATTAGGCTCACAGAGCCTTCTGCAAAGACTCACTGAACCTCCTTCTAGACTTAGAGGGTCTCCTTAGAGAGCCTTACCACGGAGACTTCTTCTACACTCCAAGAGTTTCAGGTTAGACCCAAATAGTCTCCTGCTAAACTCATAGGGTCGCAAGCTAGACTTGAAAAGTCTTCAGCTGGACTCACAGAACGGTAACCAATTGAGACTACAAGACCCACAGAGTCTGCAAGGCTCACAGAGCCTCTTTCAAGACTCTCATGGTCTTCTGCCATACTCACAGAGACTAATGTGACTCTTTCAAACAAAATTGTTGCCACGTGGGCTCTTTTGCAGACGTCTTCTTCGAGACCCAAGTAGATATGAGCGATTATATTGTGCATTGCAATACTTACATTACGTTAATGATTATTTTCTATCAACTTATGGTAGGTTGTCCATGTTATAATATTCCTTTGTAACTCTTTGATTCCCAGGATCGTGCGCGGATGTTGGTGATTACCGGTGTCCCAAAGGCGGATGCATTAGTTGGATGGAGGAGATATGCGATGGGAAAGCACATTGCAACGACCTGTCCGACGAAAGAAACTGTTGTATGTATCAGACTTGTGTTTTCTTATAACGGTAATGGTACTTATAAGCTTAAGGCGACTTACAGTTCGTCAAGTAGATCTTAATATGGAAACGTTTGAGAACACGTGCAGTTAGTGCTAATGTAAGGGCTTGGTAACACTGAGTAACGATTGCATAAGGTATAAGAAATGCTTGTAGTGCTGCATTCTATGGAATTCTGAACTAAATAAGTCGACCAATTATGCAAATATTATGCATTACAGCAAGTGCTTTGACCCCTCTGACAAAGCGATGTATGAATATCAATGTCAAAAGATCTATTATATTCATAACCTACGTCAAGTCATTATAAAACACGTAGTGTTATAACACATGTAGTGTTATAACGAAACTGAATTCATTTTGTAATCACCATGTTTACTATAGATCCATGCGGGAAGAGTTACCTTCTTTTGAGCAATTCAACAGTGACTTCAGTGCCGTTCCAATCGATTAATTATCCGCTCCCGTACCCGAACGATGCCCTGTGTGTCTGGTTGGTCACTGCCGACGCGGACCGCATCGTGGTCCTGCAGTGCACCCGCTTTCATACTGAGCGCAGCAAGGACAATCTGATCGTGGGCAACGGCCACGATCCCTCGGACGAAAACTCGCAGATTATGCGCTTGAGCGGTTTCATTTACATGTTCCGGATAATTTCCAGAGGGCCGAAAATCTGGCTGAAATTTCAGAGTAACGGCCAGGGAACTAGGAAGGGATTTTCTGCAACGTTATCACAAGAAATGCCTGAAGGTCAGTACGTTATCCAAACACTGTGTGCATACTCCGAGAATGAGCCCTTTGTTCTTAAGCCAGTATCGTCCAACCCTTCTCCTCCAAATAAACCGTACCAATGAGTCTGTAGATTCTTGCCTAAACATTAAAGCAATCTCAAAGGATCCTATAATTGTGTTTATTACTTTTCAACAGCTTCCAGTAGAATCCTATAGATTGCCCGTATTCATTGTATAATCAGATGTAAGATCCGAAGACCAGCCACCTGTAGAATCTTGTAAGATATCAGTGAAATATCTAAGAAAGCTTATAGGAAAGCCTATAGAAATACTGATGGCAAACATACGAGCTTAGGGTATATTCCAAGTTTATAACGCCCTGCTATTTATTTTGTAGAGCTGTCTCACGAATTTATCGAAACCTCATACTTACCGACATCATCATCATTGCAATTGACACAGCTTGGAGAAAGTACATTACCTTCAATACCAGTTAACGCGAAGATTACAAAATAAGACTACGTGCACTTTTTTGAATCACAAATCAGGTTCCTGCTCGGACAGTGAATTCCAATGCAGGTCTCCATCGGTGACTGGGCTGACTTGTCTAAACGCTGCAACCTCCGTCTGCAACGGTATGGCGACCTGCATCGATGGATCGGACGAAGAAAACTGCGGTACGAACCGACCACGTGGCACACATGTTTTTGCTTAGTTGTTTATAATTGAACTGAATAATTAGTGATAGGAGAAACATGAGCTTCTGTTTCAGGACGTAAGCGGATTGGGCAGTAAGAAAGTATAGGCCTACTTGGTGTCAAATAATTACGATTTCTACTGTTCTTGCTTCAGAAAAGTTATAACGCACTGCTGGTACCTTCATATTTCAAAGAGAAGGTTCTTGGTGTCCATTATGATTAATCACATCTTACCTAAAACCCGATTTCTGACGGGATGGGAAAAAAACAATGGTACCTATCGTGGGCGTCGCGGGGGGGGGGAGGGGAGGGGTGTTCACCCCCCCCCCCTCAGAAAAGCCAAAAACTAAGTCATACTGCTGTTAATTTAATGCACATTAAACAACATGGGCGTCTGCAAGGGTGTCAATGGGGTTGGGGTAGACAAATGTCCTCCGCCCACCCTCGAAAAATTGATCAATTATGTTGGAGAAAGTACAAGGATTTGGGGAAATAATGTGCTTTGCCACCTCTAGACAAAACCCTGGCGACGCCAATAGTACCTATAATGTTATCATGACACTTTAGGTGTGTGTGGAGCTCGCGACGTCTATGTTGAGGATGACGCTATCGTGTTCCAATCCCCATCCTACCCTGGTAACTACCCTAATGACCTCACATGCACGTGGCAAGTGGTTCGTCAACCAGGCGATTCCTACGTGATGAGGATAGTCGATTTCGCGATGGAGGAACGCTACGATTTCCTCTATGTAACCCGACTTCCGAAGTCTGGTGTGGGGAGCACTTCTCCGGGTATCAGGTGGCGAGTTGTTTTTGGCTTGACGGGGGAGGACATCGGGCAGCGGACCATGGTGTGGTCGGAGAACGTCTGGCTGACGATGATGACTGACAACTCCAAAGAATTCCGAGGATTCTCGATTGTAATCGAGCGTTTGAATGTCACTGATCTTGGGGGTATGTCCAATCTTACTTTGTTGGAATCACACAACTATCATTCTCTTACAGAATGTACAAATTCTAGTCATAAACTGTTGATACTAAATGCTGATTTATAAGTAGTTAACTACGCAGTGAAGCTGTACAGCTATCATGCTGGAGAGAAACAGTAAAGCCATTAGCTCATTAGTTCTCAATATGCAAGTGTTACTACAGACATAGGAAACCAGCCTTTGTCGAGTCGGATTTCAACTGATTTTCCTAACTGGAATTATCTCAAGTAAATAAGATACCTCTTTTGGGACTTGAGTTACAGAGCTCGTATCAGGAACTTGCGACACCATCACGTTGTCTTTATAAACTGGCGTTGTTTACCTTTTCAGATTTGTGCCAAAGTGGAGAGTTCCACTGCGGGAACGGCTTTTGCATCAGTCAAACAGCCATCTGCGATGGCTACCTGGATTGTCTGAATTACAGAGATGAAGCCAACTGCAGTAAGTTAAAGTCATTCTGATCGCATCAACTTGATGCCTCAGTGACACCTCTCTCGGTTTCGCGTCAAACTTGGCTAAACTCTCATCTATGCAGGGTGAATCAAAAAAACTGAAACCCATATGTCGCGACCATCGTCTCAGTAAAGTTCTAAATGTAGCACTTTCAAAATCTAGGATATGAAAGCCCAATTCACAAGCTTTCTTTTAGTACAAGAATCATTCAAATCACTTATATGTTTTTTTAAGTTACGGGCTTTTAAACACAACCACCGTTTTAACGTTCTGTACACAGATCACAAAAAGGTAAGTGTTCTTTCAGCAAAACGAAAACAAATCACACCAGGATGTGTGTGACAGTTTTTGTCAAGACTAGGGTATTATGTAAACAGTAATGATTTGGTGAAGCTTGGCTTTTGTTTTGTTCCCCGTGTGATGAACCTTCGAAAGCCAAATGCTGCTGCCCCAAAGGGTTGAAGTATATAAGCCCATGACACTCTAGCTTTCATGATTTATTTCCTGATTCTGTTTCACTTTAGGTGAAATAGTTTGCCCAGGGTCGTACAAGTGTGATAACGTCGACACCCCTGCTACTGTCCCCAACTCACAACCGACTTCCCCTGCCTACACCCAGCCTTTGACCACGCCAAATCTACTGCATACCTACTGGCCAACTACCTACCAACCGACCACCCAGACGGCCGACCATGGATATGTCCAAGCTCAGTGCATCCCAAGAGCTCTGGTTTGCAACGGAGCACAGGACTGCCCAAACCTCGATGACGAAACAGACTGTGGTAATTAATACAATCCCACTTCATGTTTCAACCGATATTTATAATTCCTTCTTTGGCGTCATTTTACCTTTTCAACATTACTTGCCACAGTATAGAGTACATGTTTAGGCTTTATTTTGTTAGCAAATGATGTTGTCGTATTAAAAGCCCCATGCACGCTATTATTGAAATACAGACAGTGATGAATCTCAGGTACTGTTTGCCATATCATTGCAGATTTACAATATTAGCTCTAATTGAAGTAAACTTGTTAAATTGCTTCACACGTGATATTTCTATATTGTCCGTTTGCAAATCGTCCCCGTTCGCTGAACGGATGAGTAAAACTGCCAATGTAATCCTCAACATTTGTCGTCTACAGTTCATCGAACTCATTGCACTGTATATCTGTTGATTATTTTTTTGTTTTTTCATTATTCCACATCAAATTCTTCGTCCGTCTGTAGATAAAAAACGATGTCCCACCGGTTGCGACTGCCACTACAGTCCGGACGGCCACTTTGTGGTGTCCTGTGCAAACGGTTGGAATGCGACCACGCTCTCCAACATAGCCGCTACAACGTACACATTGTAAGTCAAAGTTAATAAGCCATTTGCGAGTGACCCATGCCCTTCAAAAAATTGAAAAACGTTTGGTACACTGATTTGCGCAGAATACTTGGCACATTTTCACTTTAAATTCTCCAGACCAAAGCGGACACTGTTGCTAATCACATGATTCGGGGAAAGTTCTTGCATAGTTACGTAAAGACGCTCAGCGCCAATACATTGTTTACATTGGTGAGAATAACGCAAAGACCATTCTGGAGCTGGGGGTTGCCAGCATAAGGCTTGCCCCGAATCATATATGATATAGTAACAATCTCTTTGATCGGGAGAATGCAAATTTAAACGGTGCAAGGCATTGGATTAAGTCAGCGTTCCAGATGTTGTTCAAATTTAACTCGCAAATTGCTTATTGACGTATCGCCGTGTGCTAGTTAGGCACGCCCCTTAGACAACCCCATGGAATTTTGTACGTTATCAACTTTTGTTCCTCTCAGCTTTTGCGCGTTCCGCGTCCATTTATACTTTTGTTCCTCTCAGCCTTTGCGCGTTCCGCGTCCATTTATATATCATGTAATTGGACAATATCTCACAAGCTGCGTTGACGCGATTCTAACGCGATAGAATTGATTGAGGTTGGACCGAGCTGCGATATGCATCGATGTAAAACTGGAGCTTTTGATCAGAAACGAGTACTAATTATAATTGTTAAAAGTGTCAGACAATTATAACAAGCACTTGATATCAACCACTTGTCTCCCATATCGATGTATACATTCTATCGGCAGACATTTGTCTGGAGTTGACATCAGCCTCGAAGGAGGAATTTTCAAGGAGCTAAAAAATCTGAAAGTGTTGTAAGTATGTTAGTTAATTTTTTGTTCATTGCTGCTTTATTTCAATATTCTGTGAATGCGCCATATTCTTGAACGCATGAGGGCGCTGTCATGGAAATCTAATTTTACGTCTGGGGGTCCTGAAGCAACGTGGACGCACTTACGTACGTACGGTGTATGCGTGAAGCCAGCAGAGATACTCACCACACTTTAGTCTTTATGCACTTCGACATTTCACATGACCCTGCTACTAGCTTCAAGCATACACTGTACGTACTTAAAGCTATAGTCCATCATTTGCAGCTATCTGAAAAGTAGCTGGCGTAATTATTGTTGAAAAACATACTGGGTTGAAAGATAGTAAGGGGACTAAACTCCCTGTGAAATTATTCTTTCTGGTAAGCTGTCATTTTGAAGTAAACAACGAAAGAAGGCCTTTCCAACGGTGCTTCTTAAGACGCACCGTAGGAAAAATTAAATTAGTAGTTCGTTTTGTTATTCGGCGAAGCGCGCGCTATAATTCGTCAGATCAGTGCGCGACATCGCGTAGCTGCATTCGGCTCAGCGAGAACGTGTCTCGGACGCTGAATTCAGGCGCAATTCAAAAACATGATTCAGCAACTTTTGATTTGAATTGAGATCCTAGAATGCTGTTTTTCTCAGAATATTTAGCTGAAGCTGAGCTGAAACTTTATCAGGTTAGTTGTTCAGTACCCTTCTTTAGATTTTGAGCACTTTCGTTGCTTCAAACGAACAAAATGCACAAATTACAAATGATGGACTATAACTTTAAGTGCGTCCACGTACGTTGCTTCACGACCCCCAGACGTTAAATTAGATATCCTTGACAGCGCCCTCACGGTTCAAGAATACGGCGCATTGAAAGTCACAAAGGCTTTCAATATGTGTGGTAATCGATTTGACATTAGCATTTGGGTTTTTGCCTACAGTGGATTATATACATCATTATACCAACTGGTTAAAAGCGGCGTTGGCTGGAAATGTATCGCGTAGATAAGCTTGAGCTTACATTTCGTGCTCAAAGTTGATAAATGAAAATGACAAAGAGCATCCTTTTATATACCTGCAACGTATATTGTAAGGTCCATTCAGGAAATGGACACTGTTTTTGTTATCCGATATCAAGTAAAATTGTTGTAGACTTTGTGTCTCGATAGTGTGTTGTACTTTCTTTTTAATGTTATAATTTTACTGGCATTTTTTAAAACAAACTTTGTTTATTTCCTTATGCTAAATCTGTCTGACATCAAGTACTTTCAATTTAAGGATTTGTTGTACTTGGACTTTTGGGGGGTTAAGTCTTTATTTCATTTTAATTTCTTTGTTTATGTTTGTTGTACATTTTGTGTCTTCTCGATAATGTGTTGTTCATACCTTTTATTGTAATTGTTTTACTGGCACTTTATTATTAACATTTTTTAAAATTAATTCCCATTTGTTCTGTCTTGTCGTTTCGAGTTTAAACTTACATTCATCTTTCCCATAATTTTCAGCTTAACATGTCAACTGCTTTCGATTGAGGATTTTTGTTTTTACTTCTCGGGTTTTAGGGGTTTTTTTCTTCTCTGTGTCTCTTTTCATTGGATTGTTAATCTTTGTATTTTTTATGATATGTACGTTTTTGTTTTGTTTCAAAGCAATTTCTCATACTGTTTTTAATTAATATTGAAGTACTATGAGCAGGGCCCTTATGGAAAGCAATGTTTCTTAACTGATAAAGCCACCCTGTATAAATAAGACAACAAATGAAATAAATAAATAAATGAAATAAATAGGTAATACATGTAATTGGCTTGCATTACTAATACGAACTGGCTTTTATCTTCACTTTTAGGTCATTGAAGAACAACAAGATAAATGAAATACCGAGGCACACCTTTGATGGCCTGACCAGCTTGGTTTGGTTGTAAGTGAAAATGAAATTAAGATCCTTTTTATCTTAATTTCAAATCAAAATAAAATCTGCCTCACAGCCTGGCCAGGTATTCTTTGGTATGGTAATATTTATCTTTTTATTTTAGAGATCTGTCTAATACGTCCCTAACGGAGCTTCAGACGTTGGCCATGGAGGAATTATCTGGTCTACAAGGAATGTAAGTTTATGTGCAAAACTCGTAATCTGATATCGACTCTCGTTATTGCGAGCTCGGCTCGCAATAACGAGCAAATTTCGCCATATTTCGCCAGTCCCGAGCACATTCCTATAGGGATGCTTACAACGAGCTTTGGTAAAGTGAGAATTCGGTTAAGACAAGCGCTTTTCGATCCCCTCGCGTAATGCATTGTTGTCTAATCATTTTAAGGAGCATTTCAGGAAAAAAACTTGTCAATCAGTGGACCCATTCAATTTGGAAAGCTAATCACTCTGTCATTTCAAGAAAACACTTGCGTTGTATCCACATTGTTTTTGCACACGATCGTGGTGAAAATGCTATTTCGCATAAGACGAGTTCCGGATAATACGAGGAAATTAACTAAGTCTGGAGAACCTCGTAGCAAAGAGAGTCGCCTACACCCAACTGCTACACTATAATAGTAGTGAATATCAAATTACGTTTGTAGTGACATAACAATACTAAAAACTGATTGTGGATGAAAACTGATCAAATGTGGCCACTGTACCAACTGCTTTATGGAATAATGTATCGATACACTCAACCAAAAAAAGAGTCCCCCCTTCCAATACTTTTTTGTCTAACTCAAAAAAAACTGAGCACCTTTCGCTCAACTAACTACTAATCAGTACAGAAATTTCTTACAATCCAACCATGCTCTTTATTCGGCCCACAACAGTGATAATGTGTACGAATTTTTGCAATTTATGACCAATGATACCGAAAACAGTTGCACTTTTTTAGACGTCCAAGCTGTGGTTCACACTCACCTTGCACGTATAAAAAAGTGGAACTTTTTTCTCGGTACCACTTGTCATCAACTACATAATTATGTACACATTATCACTTTTTCGGGCCAAATAAAGCAAATAGCTGGATTGCTAAGGAATTTCTGTACTGATCAGTCGTAATTTGAGCAAGGTGTGTCCAGTACATTTTCAGTTTGTCAAAACACTTTTAAAGGGGACTTTCTTTTTAGGTTGAATGTATAAATTTGACGCCAAAATCTTGAACCTTTCTACATACACTGCAAGCTGTTTCACTATTTCTTTATTTACACATAGTACAATCTTCGATGTGCCGCTCAAAAGGATTCAGGCAAATGCGTTTACTGGACTCGGAAACGTAGAGACTTTGTGAGTATATATACCTAATGATTATTGGTAATTTTTTTGCCAGTTAATCTGGATAGTTTGACGTCAGAATCATAAGAAAGTGTCTAATACGTTTTCTTCCTACGTATTTTTCTGCTTCAGGATACTGGTGCGCAACGATGGAAACTTGCCTCCATTAGAAGTTGAGGATTTAGCATTTGAGGGTCTTGAAAACGTTTCACTGCTGTGAGTTTCTGTCGCTTTGTAGCTTAACGAAAACGTTTAATCTTTAATTCGGGCGATTCACAATGCAGTGCGCCACCAAGAGTTTGCCACGGAGAGTCAATTTTTCAAGTTTACGGTGGACAAAACATGGCCGATTTGAATGAGAGTCAGTAGACAACTTAGATGGGGCAAAGCGTTCTGCCGCCTTACAAAAAACACCATATTGATAACAAGGGGGAAAAAAGGGCAAACAGATCCTCGAATCATACGCTTACGAAACCACTGACCGGAAAAACTAACAATTTCAAATGTCCCGCGCTGCGAATTTGTCGACCATTTCCCACAATGCACTGGGAAAAATGAACTCTCCGTGGCAAACTCTTGGTGGCACACTGCATTGTGAATCACCCGAATTGTAAAAACAATTAACGAAGTTGGAAATTTGTATAATATTGGTCACACTTGTTTATGTGATCTCTCACAGAATTGTTAATTAATTACCAATTAGCTCCCGGGCTATGAAGCCTTTTGTTTTTACTACCTGCAATAGGTTTGTTGATAATCATCGGATGTGCTGTTTCTTCCCCGAAAATGTTGAGTGCAAAACTCTGAAACCAGAGCCCGTCTTGTTCATGTGCGGTGAACTCATGCCCAGGGTCGTTCTGAAAGTCTTCATGTGGATCCTTGGAGTGAGCGCCCTCGTCGGCAACATCTTCGTCATGATGTGGAGGTGTCGGGAGAAGACGGAAGGCAAAGCGAGTCGAATTGTCCAATCTTTCCTGGTGTTCAACTTGGCTGTTTCTGATGCCTTAATGGGGTTGTACATGCTGATCATAGCTGGTGCCGATGTGTATTTTGGTAAACGGTATTTCGAGCTTTCTGACGAATGGCGAGCTAGTGTGCCTTGTCGGATAGCGTCAATGATCTCCATCGTTGCCAGTGAGGCCTCCGTCTTCTTTTTGACTTTCATCAGCATCGATCGGTTCGTAGCAATCGTCTTTCCCTTCAGCACCCACCGCGTTCGCCCCAAGAAAGCCAGGATCATCGCAGGCTGCATTTGGATTGGTACGTCGGTAATCGCACTGGTTCCCACCATCCTGGCCACAGACGAGCAGTCGGATATATACGGCCTGTCTGACGTCTGCATTGGGTTGCCACTGAGGACAAAGGTCACCGAGTACGAGATCCGGGAGCATACCGTTGAAGCACGGGGGATGAGCGATCTGACCGTAGGGATACCAGTCCCCGCTGGTACCCGCCCCTCCTGGTTCTTCTCCATCGTGTTGTTCCTGGGCGTCAACCTGCTGTGTTTCTGTGTGATCATGGCTTGCTACATCGCTATCTTTGTCAACGTCTCTAGGTCAGTCAAGAAGGTGCGGCGCCACAAGGGTCAGGACGACGAGGTGAGGATGGCCATCAAAATGGCCGCCATTGTCTCCACGGATTTCATCTGCTGGATACCGGTCATCATCACGGGTATCCTTGCCCAGGCTCGTGTGGTGGAGATTCCAACCGAGGCTTATGCTTGGATCGTCGTCTTCGTCCTGCCCATCAATTCCTCCCTCAACCCTTACCTCTACACCATCTCGGATCTTTGCACCAGGAAACGTCAGGAGGCAGCTTCTAAGAGGAAGATCAAGAGGACCATCGTGGATGCTAGCAACGTCACTATCGAGTCTGTGGTTCAGTAAGTCAACCAGAATTTCATCTGTAATGATTTAAATGTTTTTGCCTTTGGGGTTCCATTGTTGACGACGCAGAATAATAAATAAAAAGAAAAAAAGTCACGTATTCGCGGGACATGGTTTCTCGATTTGAAAGCCTTCACATGGAAATCAAATTTAGTCAACTTTGAAATTGTTGCGAGATACAAAGAAAAGTATAAGAAGAATAATTGGAAATCTTTGTTGTACATCATACAGCAATATTATGTTGGAAGAATATGATGACTCTTGAAGGCAGTATTGAATTTGCTTTTTATGGAAATTGAGGGCGGTATTTATCAGTGACCTTTTGTGTTAATCCTCGTGAGAAAGATAATTCCCACATCAATGCAATTGATGGCAGTGTTTTATATTTTTCAGTAATAGGACATAATATCATGATGGTTGCAAGGGTCGTTTGCTTGTCACGATTAAGGATTTGTAAAGGTATTTCGAGTAGGCCTATCTTGTTGCAGATTCTACCATGGGTATTCAAAACGGTTTATCCGTACTTGCTATTGTCTATGATATAACTGGTATAATTATGAGAAAAGTTTAGAGAATTTTGCTTTTGGATCAACGATAATTTCCAATTTTTATAAATGTAATGACTCTTTGAAATTACACAAATGCTTTAATTGATATTTCTCTTCATTTGTCTGTTGTGATCAATCGTATTAGAGAAATAGTTTTTATGTACTGTTGTATAAACATTTGATGAGCTGCTTGTCAATTTAGAATATTCTTTTGTAAAAAGCTCGCTATTTATAATGGAACTGCTGCAGTTGAATGCTTGCAGTGGACACCCTTATGATTGCATTGTCTATAGTATAACTGGTATTTACATGTAATTGCTATTTCTAGTATCTTTATATATTAACTGCTATATGATAATATTTTGTGAAATTTTTTATTTACACTTTTGTAAGAACTCTGTTAAATGACGCATAAATTTCGTGCCGATTATTCTGTTATATTATAACAGAATACTCGGCACAAATATGCGTCAGAAATAGGATTAAACTTCAGGGGGAACCTGTAGGTGTTTTTGTGCAATTTAAGATTTTATATATGTAATGTGGGTGGCGGTAACTAGGGCGCCAATGGGTACCCCCACCCTGTAGGCCGAAACAACTTTTCCTTCAGGATAAACAAAGAGGGAATTGTTTAAACGATTATTTACCTTGGTGAACAAATCCTAAAATTGTTCTTAGGTACAGTTTTTTTATATTATTTAATATCATTGCTGGCTGTTGGAAATTAAAAGCGGGGTTGATGAGGCAAGCATCGTTTGACGCTAGAGGGCGTAGGTCAGTGGCTATTGATTATAATACCGTGCAAAATCGCTCCAGAGTGAAAATGATATGTAAAACAGAAGCAAACACGAATACTTAGAATAATATACACTGTAATTAAGTGTTCATTTCTCTTGTTTGGTCGTAATTTAATCGAATAATATAATTTAATATTCCCAGGGTCTATAGCTACTTTCAACCCGCGCGACTGTTGATATGCCCTAACATTCGAATCATAATTTAAGCCAGAGGGATGGTTTCTTACAGCTTCTTGAAGAGGTCGGAGTTGCCAAAAACCTGAAGAGGTTTTCAGGAGCAAGTATCGGTGCAATGGTGGCTTCTTTCGTCGCTCTTGGATATGACTTATATGAGATAGAGGAAATTGTCTCTTTGACGCGAGCACCCTGTTTATCGGTGAGATACAGATAAATTCATGTCCCTCTAGTTTCATATCAATCTTGATGCCATTTGTAGGTTAGGGTCATTACAGCGGGGAGGGGGCACGTCCCCCCCCCCCCCCAGCAGAGGTCCGTGCCCCGGGTTGGACCCCCATATAAATCTTGACTTGCACATCATATACCACTTGCCTCCAGTGCCCCCTTGAAAAATTGGTGCACCCCCCCCCCCCCCGCCCATCCAAGAAGTTTAACCCTGGTTTGTCACATTAGGCAATGATCCTTGATTTGGCATCCGTATTTCTTCTTGTTAAAATAAATGGTCACTCAATCATATCAATCACAAATCCGACCAGAAATATACAAATTAATAATTTTTGACAAGTATTGATCTTTACAGGGCTCTTTATTTTTTTCAGTTCTGTTCAGTTCAGTTCAGTTCATTTATTTTCCACTTGCTCACTATATTGGAAATAACAGAACATGTACATGTAATTATCACACTTTGATTATTAAGCAACAAGTGGAGGAGGTCTCCAAGAAGCAGAGCTTGGAAACCAGATATCCCCTTAAAGTGTGTACTGATATACATTGAAAATGACATTTGAATTATAATGACAATAAACGAAAACAATATTTCAGTTGTTAAGTTAATGCTGCATCATAAAGAGACAAAGAACAAACACGACAAGACAACACAGAGAGGCTGACAATTCCGTTCGACAGTAAAGGTATCTAAGGTGATTACAAAGGTATATACAGTGAATAAATACAAATTGTGTAAATCAGTCTTGACAATAGTTATCCACTAGCCAAAGTTTGAGTTGTTTCTTGAAGACGGGCATGCTATTAATTTATTTAAAATTAGTACCTAAAGAATTCCAAAAATTCTGGACCTTGAAATGATACACAATTAAATGATTTGGAAAGGCGTACCTAAGGAATATGACAATCTTTGGCAGATCTGGTATTACACGAATGAATCTGAGTGTTTAAAATAAACATATTATTTGAAAAGACTTTGGTAATTAAGTTGTTATAAACTGATACATAAATGAGCCAAACTGAAGCAAGTGTATGTCAGGAACCTTGAGAGTTTTATGGTTGTAAACGAATGGGTCAGAGGAAATAAGAAAATGAACAGCATTAATAATTCTAAGAGCCTTCTTTTGCAAGACAAGGATTCTATTCAATAAATAAATAAACACTTGATTTGCCCATATGGTAATATTAGAGAATTTAGCTTTGCTCAACATAACGGTGATATTTTCTGCCTTTGTTTTTAAAGTAATAGTCCATCATTTGTAATTTTTGCATTTTGTTCGTTTGAAGCAACAAAAGTGCTCAAAATCTAAAGAAGGGTGCTGAACAACTGACCTGATGAAATTTCAGCTCAGCTTCAGCTGTATATTTCGAGAAAAACAACATTCTAGGATCTCGATTTCAAATCAAAAGTTGCTGAATCATGTTTTGAATTGGGCAAGAATTCAGCGTCCGAGACACGCTCTCACTGAGCCGATTGCAGCTACGCGATGTCGCGCACCGATCCGACGAATTACAGCACTGATAAATCGCCGGACATGCCATGAGAAATATCGTGCCAAAAATCACCTCTCACTTCGGAAAATCTTACTAGATCGGTGTACGAAGATTAGTAAGTGAAAACTGAAAGTGAAATAGAAGCAAAGTTTTCAAACTGTGTGAATAAACTTTAAAACCTCATTCGTACGTATAAAAAAAAGTCAAAAATTGATCGTTGAGAGGACTCACCTGCACCCACGATCTGCTTAAACCAGTCCCACTAAATCTAGAACCCATCGGCTGCAGGTAGGTAAGTCTTCGCAACGTTATACATTCTCGTTCTCACGCAAGTAAAGTCACGATATGAAAACAAACGTGCACAAAAATCAGAACAAGGAACGACAATACGAATTAGGGGTCTTAAATTAAATTCAGGTTTGTTTGTTTGTTTGTTTTGTTTGTTTGTTTTACACTCTTTGCTTTGTCAGTTTTACTTTAAGAATACCAAGATAAATTCAACTCGAGTGCTTTATTGCAGTAACAGTCAGAAATCATTTGCCAAAAGTTACAGAAGGTGAAAGGGTTACGGCAAAACCGAATTGTGGTGTACGCTAAGAGGTTTTGGACTTTCGCTCGTACCCCCCCCCCCCCCCCCCCCCCCCCCCCCGTCCCTCCGCCCTGCAGTGCAAGCAGGGCGCTGGGGAGGGCAGATAGCGTAATTTTTATTCCTAGGAGGGTTAGGGGCAATGTCATGAATAATTCATGTTTATCCATGAGAACGGACAATGACATCAACAGCATTGTTGTTAGTTACTCAACTAGTTACAATACATTAAAGCATTTTAAAGAACGGTTGTCGTCGAGCTACCACACAGTAGCCTAGTGGATAGCGAGCCGAGCTATGGATACAAAGATCCCTGGTTCGAATCCACGTCGTCGCTGCTCATTTTCATCAGCTATTTTTCTTCGCCAAATGTATCACTGAGATAATTTTAAATTAAGGGGAAAATAGAACGAGAACCTAAATCTTGCAATGATTCAAAGGAAAAACTGAATTATTCATGACATTGCCCCTAACCCTCCTAGGAAAAAAAAATACGCGGGCAGATGAGCTTCACCGAATCTTGTGAAGGAAGTGGGGATGGCATTCTGGGTAATTTATCATGACCTATGTATAGGCCCTAAAGCATCTGGCTGCAGCTGTAGACCGCGGTTAGCCAATGCGCGCAAATACTATCCGAAAAGTTTGCCATAGAAATGCATACACACCATACCGGATGTAATTTCTTTTTCATTGCGGACCATGTGGACAAAATAATTTTGAGCATCAAATTTTAATTTAATTAATTTCGAAACGGAGCCTGAGCAACTGACGGCAGTTGAACATTTACAAAACAGATACGTTTTACAGATTTTTCCTACATCATTATACTTTTCATCCAAAAAAGGCGCAGTCTTAACGGCCGTTTCAAACCTTGCAGAGTCGTGGTCGTGATGACTGGCAGGTCACAGGTCACGCAAAATCTATCCAATAAGAGCGCTAATTAAGCCCTTCCCAGCGTCCTGTTTGCAGGGCGGGGGGTACGAGCAAATGTTGGACATTACTTCCCTTAGGACATGAGGAAAAAAATATGTAAAGAAAACAATGAAATTAATTTGAACCTAGTAAAATTCGGACTTTTTATTTCCCTTTAAAAAAATCTTCCAAAGCGGCCAATTAAAACAAAAAAAAAGATTGAAAAAATATGGTTTCTAACTCACACCCTCCGATCTCAAAACCATTCCATTCCAGCTGAGCCATATCGAAGAGCTCGACAGCATACCGTAATTCATGGCTTTTACCTGCGTACGTATAATAAAGGTATCGTGGAGGGCGCTCAACAACCTTCCATACGACGGTTGTCTGGGGAAAAAATAATTCGCAGGTGGGCCGTGCGAGAGTTCAAGAAGCTCGCCGCATAGCCTTTTACTTTCATGCTGAATTACAGGTACATGTACCTGGATGTTGCCCGGATCACATGGTCACTGGTCGCTGTGAGAGATCTGTATACGCTAGCCACGGCTTCTTTCTTGAATTGAATGACCTTAGTGCGCTGATACTGAACTGTAACAATCGATCCAGTCATGCGATCCCACCTCTAGACTTCTACAATCGATCCAACCAGCGACCCCACGTCTAGACTTCTACACTGCATGCAAACACCAGCAAAACGCATCATGGCCACTGCTAGTGTTCTGCCACGTATAGAAAGAAAACCCATTCTAACACCAGAGGAGAAACGAGAATTTGAGGGCTATGAATTCCCCTTCGAGAATCTGGCTCTTCAGGGAGGTGGCAGTAAGGGAATGGCGTACATTGGGACAATCAGGGTAAGCGCATGATTTTAAAATGTGTACAAGTTAAAACGACAAACAAATACATGTACATGTACACCCGTTGCGTTCCGCGAGCATATGGTAGCCTATAATCATGTAGTCCATGCATGGTCACGCTCCAATACACAGATACACACGTGTAGTATACATGTACATGCATGCCTGCCTGTATCCCGCGAAATCTTTTTCTGTACACATATACATACATTCGTTATGGGCGTATTTCGAAGTACGTTGAGTTGCAAGTCAGGTTCTTGGACTTTATTTTCCCTTGAAAAAAACCCTCCAAACCACATATTGGTATAAAAAAAATGTTCCAAATGACTAACAAACCTTTTTAAGAGAGAAAAAAAGAAGTAAAGAAGAAGAAATTAAAAAAAGATCCAATGGGAATCGAACTCACACCGTCGGATTTGTATTAAATCCAATGTAGTATACATGACACTACAACATTGACTCATCGATGTGGTACCATTGCATATATAGGGCTCTCCAGCATAATTCTATATTCAGACTATATTCTACAAGCTGGTTTACCCGATCATAGATCGGGTAGGGCGTAGTGTTGGGGATGAAAATGTGGGGAGTTAAATGTAAATGGGGGATATAGTTGGGGAGACATGCAGTTATCGAAAAGCAATTTCTGTGGTGTGATCTAAGGCAATTTCTGACGACTAACACCAATTTGAGCAAAAGATCATTTTTAAAGTTTTGAGTTTGGAGTAATTGAATCAGCTACATGTATTCTGAGCAATAGAATCATTATTGTAGGCTACAATATTTTTATTCGGGGAAGAAAAAGTGGGGGGGGGGACCAAACAATGCCCCCCGCCTCAAAATGTGTGTGTGTGTGGGGGGGGGGGTCCCCTGTCCCCCGTCGATTTACGCACATGATAATTATGTACCGTGGCAACTGTCTGTAAATGTTGCCGTAGGTCTGTTAAATTGGCTTTTTGTGAGGCAGTCGCATTTGGAAAACGTAGTGAAAAGGTTACTGTAGTACACAGGCGAAGGCTGGTTTAAATCATAATTGAATAAAACGTGAAGGTGTCATTTGAAATGAAAATGTTGAGTGTTACCATAAAATACAAACGGTCTGAATCACGGAGGAAGGTCATAATTAAGTTTCAGTATTGGACTCTTCAACAAACGTAAACTTGAACTTCTTACAATTTGCGAGACCGTCTGCGAGGAAAAAGTCAATTTAACTTTTATTGAAGTTGGTTCAACCATCTATAATAAGAGCAAGTTTGCAATGTTTGCTTCTGAAAGGATCCGAGACCGCGGCTTCACGTCCGTGGAAAAATGTGGGTGTCTTCCGCCGGGTCGGACACTTTTTCGTCGATTTTTTTGTGACTTCGTTCAAGATCGCAATATTTGAAGCAATGCATCGACCCTTTGTTGATCCCAAACAGGCCCCCGAAATTATAACGCGACACTGACTGTGACGTGCAGCAAACTCACAACGCTCAGCCTTGGTGGATGCATAGAGCTAGTGGAAGCATGGAGCTGTAAACACATTATGGAAGCAACAGCACTCTATCACGCGACGTCACATGCTTGTGCTTCAAATAGCGAGCACCGTAGACCCAACCTCGTTTCCAGGGTGTGGAGCAGGCTGCAGTACGCGTTGCCATCGACAGTTTTGCATAGCCCGGAAATACTACGCAGTGTAGACTTTCGATTGGTCAGACCGCGCAAGACATACTTAATGTGTAGTCCTTCTGAGTATTCGTTGCACTCGGCGCAGGGGCGGCAAGCGAAGCATATGAAAGAATAGGGGCACTTGGTGGCCACGCACCATGGAGAAAAAATATTTTACCAAGGTCACCCCATACCACAATTTGGTGAACGCTTTTGCAGAACGGCCGAGTTGAACACGTAAACGGAACCCCTACGTCGAAGCCGCTGACCTCGCACAGTCTAGACACGCAGAAAAGCCAGGACGGGGGGCGGCCAGGCAGTCAACGTGAAAGCACACACGACGGCAAATTCCTGCGCAAAATGCAGTCACGAAAAATAGACGAAAAGGATCGCCGGTCCGTACGGGAAAATCAGGACGACCCGAAGCGTCCGACCCGGCGGAAGACACCCTCCGCATTTTTCCACGGACGTGGAGCGATTTTGGCGCCGCGGGAGCCCGCGGTCTCGGATCCTTTCATGAGCAAGCATCGTCTCGGAGGCCGAGTTAAACTCTCTCTTATATATATATAGATAGTAGCGAGCATGTGGTATGGAAAAATAAATCGCGGGCGGGCCGTCGCCTCACCGTGTAATGGGGAAGTTTTTTTATCGTTAGGCAATTCGCAAATGAGGGCCGAGTTATGGGGACTTTCTGCTGTCCCCACAGCGTCGTCGGTTATAGTACCCCGGGACAACTCGTGTGTAAAGTCCCCACAGTTACGAAACAAGTATGTGTGTCCATCTGCCCGTGTTTACCGATTTGAAGCCGCTTTTTGGTCTTCGCCCGACATTAACAACTTAGGCCTAGGTCCCATCTGAATAAATCTTTCGCCGAGAGCTTGGTCCATTTTTGGTTCCTTCTTTTTCCTTCCGCATCTCCTTCCTGGAATTTTCAACCTCATAATTTTTGGGAAATCAAGAAAAAATGACTTTTAATTATTGTCACCGTATTTAGTAGTATGTGAGCAGATTCGCTGTTTAATTATGCAAGACAACCGCCTCTGAACTGTAGATTTTGCCATATCAGCGGGCGCTTTCTATATCGGGTGTTCAGTCATTGTCACGTCATAAACATGGATAAAAAAAAAAACCTTAAATAGAACACTACACTTTGTTTTCCGCAAAACCAGTTCCTTTCTCCTGTGAGGCTGTGGCACTACTCTTTGGAGTTATATTTAGCATAATAGTCGTTACGTGACTCGGAGGTCAACTCGGTGCAACCAGGATCACCGTGAGGTTTCTATGGCTGTTGCGAATCCGTTGCATAATGCAGTTGCGTAACAAGGTGCTTTTTAATGGGGGGGGGGGACGTGAAAAGAGGCATTCGCCTCATCCGTGCTGAAAGTTATACAGGTTTTTTTTTTCACCAGTCACCCAGCCTCCGTAAAATCAGAGGTCCGGACACAATCTTTTTATAGGGCGATGATTAAATCGGACTATCATGGGCACTATCGTACAGCAGGTGGCGCCTTTCATGGTGGCACCATAATAATAATAATAATAATAATATTATCGGAGTCTTATATAGCGCACGTATCTACCAACTATTAGGTACTCAAGGCGCTGGAGATATGTCTATTATTAAAGAAAGGTAAATAAAGTTTATGGGAAATATGAGACATTATGTAGCATTATGTATGCTACGGCGCATATTGCAGCCACTGCCAGAAACACCGGGGCAAACCTCTTCTCTTAGCGATAAGTGTTACTGGGTTCTTTAACGTGCATATACACAACACACGGGACCTACGGCTTTACGTCCCATCCGAAGGACTAAGCAATAATGGTAAAGTGCCTTGCTCAAGAGCACAAGCACTATGTTCCCACGGTCAGGACTCGAACCCATGTACCACGGCACACGAGTCGAACACCGTAACCATTGGACCGCCAGCACCCGCATGGCCGACGTTCACGCGACGCTCGTGAAAAACGCCACTTGTAAAAAAGGGCACTCTTTACAAATTATCAGGGGGTAAAATCTACACTTAAGAGTTAGTCACAGTAAGAGGTGAACTGCTTTTGTATCGCTTCATTGGCTCGCATGAATGCGCTTTACAATGCATAAACAATAAAATATATGACTCAAAAAAACAATTTTAGATTACATTTAGATTACATTTAGATTACAATAGATTCCATTTAGTCCAAACTGATGTTGTCTTGCAGGTTCTTGAAGAGGTCGGAATTGCCAAAAACCTGAAAAGGTTTTCAGGCGCCAGCATCGGGGCCATGATGACTTCCTTCCTTGCTCTTGGATATGACTCCTATGAAATAGAAGAAATGTGTGCCTTTGACGCGAGTACACTGTTTATGGGTGAGAAAAGATAATTTTACGAGTGTGTCCTGAAAACCAGGAACCGGGGTTTCGGGGTAAATTGCTCAATAATCAATAAAGTTTTTTTCATAAGTGTACACTTTATTTTACAGCTCATTTGATACTCTTCATTTTGGTACAAGCCAGATAATGCTAGGGTCACGCATGACTAATCAGAGACAATGTGAACGGGTGATGTCATAATTGGCTTTGTTCTGGATAAGGGGTCAACAATGTTGCATAATTTCAGGCATATTCATGGAGTAAAGACTGAGGTCTGTCTAAACAATCTTTTGTGTTATCTAATGTCTTCTCTTGTCTTGTTTTGGCTTGGGATAAACATAACTTTGTTGAATAAGCCGTCACAAATAAGCCCCAGTGTCCTTCCACGTTTTCCCCATTTCTCTACACGCAAGCTTCTGCTCTGGTTCTCATTACCCGCACTGCATTTTGGATCATGTCTCTTTGTTGATGTTGCGCCTCAACTTCTGCGACAGCTCTCTCATAAAGATTCTTTCTTTTCTCGGCTGGTCCTCTTTGGAGATACCTTTGCCCATAAGTTTGAACTGGGATGACCCGTGTCGACGCCACTGAATGGGCTACATTTGGCTCATTGTGTAATCCACATAATGCCACTAGTTACCTCTTTGTGCAGTAAATCCCAAATGAAGGCCTGTAAGCGCCCAGCCGTACTGGCTCTGTTTATCGCAGTCAAAATGTACCTTAATAAGGGTAGTTCTAGACAAACTATACGTTGTTCGAAAGCTGCTGAGTAGGACAACAAGCTGAGAAACAGGCGAGTCTTGAGACCTAGGAGTGTTGGGGAAAAATCCAGATGTAGTTCATGATGCCAGTAGTTTTTTTTTTTGCAGTAAATCCCTAGTAAGGCCTGCAGCGCCCAGCCGTATTGGCTCTCTATATCGCAGTCAAGAGGTGTCTTAATATATAGGTAGTTCTCGACAAAAAAAAATGTTCAAAAGCTGCTGAGTAGGCCAACAATCAGGGAATCAGACAAGTCTTGAGACCTAAGAGTTTTAGAGAAAATTTCAGATGTAGTACATGATGCCACAAGTTTCCTCTTGGTGTAGTAAATCCCCTAGCAAGGCCTGTCAGCGCCCAGCCGTATACTGGCTCTCTATTTTGCAGTCAAAAGTACCTTAACTTGGGAAGTTACAGACAAACATTTCGCAAAGATTGAATATAAATGTGTCTGTACTGTGTCCAGCTTTACTATGTTTTCCTTGTCTTGTTAAATGTCTATGTAGATGCCAGGTTTGGTATGATCGGGCAGGGCATCAACCTATACCGCAAGATGGGCGCCAATCCAGCCAACAAACTGATGATGTATTTTCAGGATCGTATCCAGAACAAATTCGGTAACCCAGAGCTCACATTCAAGCAGGTAAAATCTTATCAATGCAAGGATCGTATAGACTGATTCTGTAATGCGCACTTTCTTATGGGAGCCAAGCACGAAGCTTACAAAATATCCCCGTGTGCAGTGAATTGTTGCTGAGTTTTCTGCCTGGCGAGGCCGTGAGGCAAATATCTGTCCTGTTTGACTTCTTTCGGCTCGCGAGGCGAAAAACTCACCGTGTGCGGACAACACGAGCTTCGTGCTGAGCTAAAAAGATGGTGTTTGTTGTGTATTCGCAAAGCATTGTGTATTCGCAAAGCATTGGTGATGTTGGACCTCAATTTGATGCTAAGGGCAGTGACGTGGTCAGGGAAGGGAGGGGTGGGGCCAGACGGGCAGATTGCAGCGGGATGGAGATTTTAAAAGCGAATTGGAAAGCTGATAGAAGCAAAATTGGGACGGTGGAAATGGGTTTAAGGGGATGAACATTATATTTAGCAACTGGCAAACAAAACCAAGGCTACGCATGGGGAAAGGAGATGGGTAACCGTACGATCGATTAAGAAAAAAATCTTAACTCCTCCAGTATATTTACACCTGCTCTTCCCATGCTCTTCAACATTTAAAGATTTTGGCGATTTGTATCCCCCCTGGGTTTTAAGCCATACAGTATGGAATTCCATCTCTGCCAAGTTACACGGCGCATGTTTGGGAGATCCAAGCAAGCCTCCCAAACATGCGCCGTCGACGGCGCATTGTCGCGTCGTGCCGTCGCATAGTCGCGTCGTGCCGTCGCGTCGTGCCGTCGCATTGTTTTGTACTGTTTGTATAGGGCCGTCGCATAGTCGCGTCGTGCCGTCGCATAGTCGCGTCGTGCCGTCGCATAGTCGCGTCGTGCCGTCGCATAGTCGCATAGTCGCATAGTCGCATTGTCGCATAGTCGCATTGTCGCATAGTCGCATTGTCGCATTGTCGCATAGTCGCATAGTCGCATTGTCGCATAGTCGCATAGTCGCATAGTCGCATTGTCGCATTGTCGCATAGTCGCATAGTCGCATTGTCGCATAGTCGCATAGTCGCATTGTCGCATTGTCGCATAGTCGCATAGTCGCATAGTCGCATAGTCGCATAGTCGCATTGTCGCATAGTCGCATAGTCGCATAGTCGCATTGTCGCATAGTCGCATAGTCGCATTGTCGCATAGTCGCATTGTCGCATTGTCGCATAGTCGCATAGTCGCATTGTCGCATAGTCGCATTTTTGGCAGGGAGGGATTGGGCAAACACTTTTTCTTGCACCTCTTGATTTAATTTGATTATCTTACGTTTTTAAAAAGGACTGTTTTTCTCAAACATTATTTTTCATCATAAATTACCAGCAACGAAGACCATGTCGAATCTCTAAAATGCCACAAATTTCAGGATAGGTGTAACCAGCTGCAAAGTAATGGCAGATCATACCCTGGGAATTACATGTAAGTGAAAATATGTAACATTCATAGACACTAGGTCAAATGGAAAACATCATTGTAGCTCAAGTTCAAATATAAGAACATAGGCCTATGTCCTAACTAAAGCTTATTTTTTTTTAGAATTAGGTCCATAGCTTTTCAACATTTCTGCAACATATACAAAGAAAATACATAGAAACAGGATGCAACATTAAACATAGTTCTGAGAAGCTACAATTTATTCTTTTCTCTTCTGGATTCTAACCCTGATTATTCTAGTATTGAGTCGGTCGGAGCTGTTGAATTTGACATGCTCACTCATAGTCATAGACATGCCCAATGAAAACTTTCACTCAAGAGAGAAACATTGAGAAGCCAAACTGACCAATCAGGTGCCAGAATTCCATTTTGTGACATCACATCCGACCGATAATAGTAATAGTTACAACTACAACAAGTCAATTAAAAAATATTTATTCACAAATTAACAGTCGGAGGGGGCAGGCTATCGTTTGAATATGGAAATAAAAGTACGGTGGACCGTGTCCAATACTCTAGTAGTGTGTATCTAGTGATGGGCGGGTCCCGCGGCCGCGGTCATCTATTGTATTAATTATTAGTTCTGGATAGGAGCTATACCCTCCAATTGTTTAAAATATCGATACATTCGGGCGATTAACTATATAGCGTTAGGCCTAAGGCTTGCGGGTACATGCATTTCAAAAAAATACTGTTCTCTCGGCAACGCATAAAAGGATTCATTAATGTATACTCTGAAGATGTAAGCCTATTCATCTTTTGGCACGATTTCTAACTCGAAAGCAACTGGAATATGGGGAGGATGACCAAATTAGTTGCACCCAAACACCGCACAACAGCGCCCCCTTGGTGAAGCCCTGGAAAATTAATGAATGAAAATGCGACAATGCGACAATGCGACAATGCGACTATGCGACAATGCGACTATGCGACAATGCGACTATGCGACTATGCGACTATGCGACTATGCGACTATGCGACTATGCGACTATGCGACAATGCGACAATGCGACAATGCGACTATGCGACAATGCGACTATGCGACAATGCGACTATGCGACTATGCGACAATGCGACTATGCGACTATGCGACAATGCGACTATGCGACTATGCGACAATGCGCCGTGATCTCCCAAACATGCGCCGTGTAACTTGGCAGAGATGGAATTCCATAATACAGGGTGATATTGCGATCGCGTATTCCTTCTGTGTGTCCGTGTGTACAAGCATTACATTCACTGTGTGGACTTTCGAACAAAAGAGGTCCACATAAACCAGGTAGCAGCGACGTTGTGTGGACTTGCTCACATCCACACAGTGTTTCCCCCTCTCTGGAAAACAGGTTTAGGGGGCATTTTTGGGTTGGGTTTATCCGTGGCAAAATGAAGCGAAACACTGAAGGGAATCAAAGGGGAAAAAAATTGGATTGAAAGAGTTTTCACAGTGTGAGTAAAATTAGGGTTTTTTCACAGGGTTTTTTTTTCAGAAAATGTATACCGTTTTGCGTAAAAAATGTAAAACTGCTTCATTTTAGTACACAGTTAACAAGACTATTGCTTATCCCTGTTGGTAGTTATGACACATTCCATTTTGGTTAGGTACACTGACAATTTTCCTTATAACTGCCTGTATACAATCTGCCAGCGTGCCAGGGGAATCGCGCAAGTTTTACTTGCAGTATTTTTTGAAGGTTTTGCGATGCTGGATACGCCACTGGAGGAGAGCACATCAACACAAATTCATTTGGCTTAAACCTTGTCTCGGTTGACTAACCTTGGCCTTGCTCGAACAAAGGATGGTTGGACTAAACTCTCCTCGACTACAATATTGGAACCAGACCACATAGCACGGTTCTGTCACTTGTTACCACTAGCCAGGGCATCATACAGCGTATCAGGGAGCCCGGACTAACAACTTTCATTATCACGTTTTGACCATCATTTGACTAGAGGTGTTCCCACGTTGCTGTTAGTGCGCAGGCGTAAGTTACGTCACAAATCAACCCCTGAAGTCGTCTAATTCGCTCTTTTCACACTCCGCCATTGGGCATGCACAGCCTCGATCTGGCAACTTTACACAATAAAAATAGCCGGTTCAGTGATCTGAACCCCGACACGGGTATCACTGAACCGGCTATATTTATTGTGTAAAGTTGCAAGATCGAGCTAGCTCTCCATGCCAATGGCGGAAGTGTGAAAAAAGCGAATAGGCCTTTAGTATGCTGCCACCATTTCAGTCATGTTCCCTGTATCCAATAACAGTGCTGAATGATCATGTTTCTTTGTTCAGAAAGAAACCAGACTATTTTTTCCTTCCAGCCTCGATTTGGTTACGTTGATTAGAACGGGGAAAATCAAAATGGCCGCAACATGATAATGGTCGCCCGAACTTGCTCTCTGTATCGGTTTGCAATTGACTTCGCACATGAGCAGTGAATGAGTTTTTTAATCACTTTGATGAGCTCATTGGGAGGAACACTCCGCGTGAAGTCACGAATAATTTCTTAATTAAAGTAATTTGAACAATGCGCCAATTCCTGCCATTGTCTTTTCCGTTGTGATGTCAGTGGTCCCTCCCAACTCTCTCTTTGTAACTCTTGAGGGGGTGCTTGTACACGCAGTCCATAGAGGTAGCAGTGTATTATACCAATTATTAATCGAGTTGGATTATTACCTATTCTGTGAGGTTCGCTATTTGTGATTTATTTGTACCCACAATTTTACCCATACAGTTCTATGAACAGACAGGGCGGGAACTGTGTTTGACTACTGTGTCATTAAATCGCTTACGAGCTGAATATCTTCACGTGAAGACGACACCCGATATGCCGATATGGTTGGCCATTCGCGCTTCTGAAACCGTACCGGGTAAGTTTTGTTGCAGTCTTTGCACTTTGATCCATAAGTCCTGCAGCAGACTGTGGACTTGGTTTTGGCTGGACCCACAGGGCCAGTCTAGTGACTGAAGGACCAACCAAGAGACCGAGTATTTACGTATAAAGAGTGAAATATCCTGAACTGACACACCGACCGACTGACGGACCGACCAACAGACGGTCTGTCAGATTGAATGAAATATGAGTATTACTGAATGAAATTTGAGTATTATGTCCAAAAGTGCTACTATCGAGTCCAGCTGAACAAGGCGTGCCTCGTCTCGCTTTTTATAAACTCATCATCGAAATAATTCGCGGCTTGTTTGAGATTGATATTAATTTACAATTTTGTGGTTTTGAGTCGGGTCGAAAAATGTTGTTTTGCCCTCAAAGGGAAGGTACAACATTTGCTTTTGCTTCAATTTTCAGAAATAAATGGATTTGGAGGATTCGTGTCATAGAAAATATTGTTGAACTGACATGTTTCACGTTTTGGGCTTGTAGGTGCTGGAAAAACCAGGAAAACCTATCATGTTCTTGTAGTCTGGTTCCCTGACCCCAATAAGATGAAACGGAGCACCATACACTTTAGAAAATTGTAAGGTCAGAGAATCAGTCTAGCAGGCTTGTACCTATTCAGGGGTGTGTGATCAATTGCAAAGAAAAGTCAGAAAACTAAAATATGAAAAATTAAGAACAGTTTTTGAAAAAAAAGCCAGTTTTTTCCAACACTGGTCGGCCGACCAGCGTTGGAAAAATGCAGTTTTTCTTGAAAATGTCAGCACACCAGGAGCCACGATTTTAAAGATCCAATAAGGTACTTCGTGATAATTTGATCATTTCGTTTTTTGATGTTTGCAAATGTTGTATTTTCCCTTAATTCTGTTGAATCACACTGAGTGACCTGTCTGTTTTTATCTTACTCTAATCTGAAGGTGTGATGATGCCCATCAAGTACAAAGTAATGTCGAAGGAAGAGGATATTTTTGTAGATGGTGGAATACTCCACAACTACCCCATTGACTGCTTTGATGGTAAGTCAGGCAAAACAAACTACGAAAGATAACACCAGTGCAAATCCAAGTAATAAGGACCAATCCATGTGGTGTGTTACCGCAAACCAGGAACTCTACGTCTAAAGAAAGCTTTTTATTGTTCATTTCAAAATTACAGTGACCAACCAACTCTGATGCACAGATAAGAATTTTAATGGCATTGGGCAGAGCCCATACTGAAGGCCCTATCCGATTATCCTTCATTAACTACCAGATACTACTACTAATTAAATCATGAAGCAGATAAAAATCACGCAGCAGAGTAAAGTGGAAACATTGGAAACAAAATGTGTGTTTGGCAAAACATCACCAAAGCATTGTGTGATGAGACCAGAGTGACTAGACTCGGTTCCAGCCTATATGTAACCCAGTCCCCCATCACCCATCATGAAACTTTAGAGTTCGAGATAATTCTTAACATTGACTTCTGACGGAGTGGACTCTTTTGATTTACTCTTTAACCAATCTTTCCCTGGTAATTAGAGAGAAGTTTATTTAACGGATATAATAAAGAGAAATACAAACCAAGCTCTTTCACCATGTATTCAGCTCCCCGCTTCATTTTTATCAACATCAAAAGAAAATAATTCAAACTCTGATGTTAAAGGCACATATAGGAACATTGGTAATTCCTACCGCTTTAATGAGAAAGCCTTGCTCGAAGTGAATATAGGGCTTGTCCCAAATACCCAGTGAAATAGTTCTGCCAAAAATGATTTCGATCGAAAAGAAAATAATCTTTGAAAGAAGTTTTTGAAAAGTGTGCCCGCGGGCACACTTTTTGAGGTGCGTTAGAGCAACCTAATCCAGCTACGAGACCTACCATAGCCACTGAGGTAAACTTGAACAGATTTATTGCTATGCGTCCTACTTGGTATTTTTAAAAAATGCACAAATAGCAAATGATATATTTCCTTTAAAACAAGTAGGCACACTGGTATGAATCCGCACTTAATATTTGTAATCTTTCCAATTGAGGTTGGTATTTGTCTATGGACAAGGAAGACAGTTTTCTTCATCGTTTTCATGATGTGTTCAGCGCTGAAGACAGGTTTGATGGTTTCAATGAGAAATCCATCGGGGCAGTATTGGTAAGTTTTGCTGTCGTCCTCCTTCCCAATAATTATGTTAACAGGTTGACATGTTCCAAGGCGGATCCAGGGTGATCCAAAGAAGGGTGTCTGTAGGTGTTGCGTTCCAAGATTTTTCAAGGGATCGAGGGGGTAGGGGAGTGTAGGCGTTGCAGTCAATGCATAAAAAAGCAAAGTCTGAGAGTAATGAATCAAGATTCTGGGCTTTTTGTTCATATGCCCCTTCAAATCGGGGTCGCTACGCCCCTGATCTCAACCTCCCCTTTGTATCCACCCTTGGTGTTTGATGGCTTGACTTAATTGTTGATCCGTGTAGCGTAATTTCCTGAAAACAATTTACTGCTTGGTTTTCCCGTAGTATTCCGAACATGAAGTGGAAGCATTTAAAGTAGTTTTGGACGAACGAGCATGTAAACACAAGAAGGCAGGGTGTTCTATCACCGTACCGGATACCGAACGAAGCAGGTAATTGCTCAGAATTATAATAGAGCAGATTTCAAAGACATCGGACTTTTCGTTCTGAGTATCAGACGTTTATTGGCAACCCAATATTTCCGTTTTTGATTCATTCTTCTTGATGGAATTAATGTCCAAAGCGATCCCTACAATAAAATGTATGTTTATGAAGATGAGAGGAAAATTTGGCAGGCTACATGAAAGAACAGCGAATGTCATTAACAAATTATGCCTTTCTCAAATCGATGGGCCTACAGCTCAACCCTTAAGTATATTGTATACATGTCAAGAAACAATAAAGGCATTCACTTTCTTTACTTTGGTGGTCGAGCATCCAGACCTAGTCAAAGCAAATCCGAGGGACGCCGTGTAAACAAAATATTGTTTCCCTAAACATTTCTATAGGAAGAGGGCACAGTCAAAGGAAGAGAAAGCGAAACTGCACGACAGTTCCAAGCAAGCACTGACCAAGTTTGTTGCACTTCTGAGGAGTTACGACAAGGACGATAGTGGAACGATCTCAAAACAAGAATTCAAGGAGTCTCTAGAAGGCGTAAGTCGTTTTACCGTTGCATTGCTGTCATCAATTGATTACGCATTATTTTCATCTCTATAGTGAAGGATCATGGCAGCCTCCAAGCTTACAATGTGTGTGCTCTCTTATGGTAGTGTTTATTATAATCTTTCTAAACGATTAAAATAATGTCTCAATTACACTGTAAGTTTCGAATCGTGGAACATATTATAGTCATCCTTCAGCTTTATTGTTGTTGCACGTTAAGTTGTTTACAGTTACTGAACTATCCGGTTCGTTAGTAAAAACGTCATACACGCGCGCGCACCTGGATAAACGCTCGAGTCTTATTCGGGCTATGAACTACACCATGTGAAGTAATCATGGTTGAATAAGCCATTTGCGAGTTAAATTTGAATAAAATCTGGAACGCTGACTTAATACAATGCTTTGCACGTTTTAACCTAGAATTCTCCCGACCAAAGAGACTGTTACTATATCACGTGATTCGGGGCAAGCCTCATGCTAGCAACCCCCAGCTCCGGCATGGTCTGGTGTCTTTGTGCCATTCTCACCCATTGTGAACGATGTATTGGTGCTGAGCGTCTCTTACGTAACTATGCAAGAGCTTGCCCTGAATCTTGTGATTAGCAACAGTGTCTTTGGTATGGAGAATTCAAAGTTAAAATGTGCCAAGCATTCTGAGCAAGTCATTGTACCAGACGTTTTTCAAATGTAAATCCCAAAGGGTATAGGTTACTCGCAAATGGCTTATTGAGATGACGTCACACTGACGAATCGGATTCCGATTTTTTACCCAACTGGGAAACTGAATGAGCATAATGTATCTGCCTTACCCTTCCGGCCATGCGTCTGTGTGTCTTGGTTTTTTATCAGTACGTGTATATGTGGACACACAATCAGTTTCATTAGGATGTCTCAAGAGTTATTTAGCACATCAACTTTAAACTTGGTATGTGAATTGGTCTTGTGGTCCCCTAGAAGCCTATTCGTTTTGGGCCCACAGGTCAAAGGACAAAGTAATGAGTTAAAAGCATAGAAACGATTTCACCAGGATATCTCAATAAATACTTGGCATATCAACTTCAAACTTGGTATGCGAAGTGGTCTTAGGTCCCCCACAAGCCTTTTGGTTTTGGATCCCATATGCCAATATAATTATGGTCAAGGTCATATATGGTTAAAACAATAGACATGGTTTCAGCAGATTATCTTTAGACCTACTTGGCATATCAACTTCAAACTTAGTATTTATGTGGGTCCCCCAAAATCATATTGGTTTTTGGACCCCAAAGGCCAGGTGTAAAGGTCATTAGGCCTATAGTTAAATCAATAAAAACAGTTTCAGCAGAATATCTGTAGAATTACTTCGCATATCAACTTCTAACTTGGTGTGTTGGTTGGTCTTCGAGTCCCCTAAAAGCCTACTGGTTTTGGATCCCATATAGGTCAAATGTCAAGGTCGATTGTTAAAACAATGGAAATGGTTTCAGCAGAATTGCTTGACACATGGACTTCAAACTTAATGTGTGGGTTGGTCTTGGGGTCTGCCAGACGTTTATTTAAGGTCAAAGGTCAAGATCTAACGGTTAAAATAATGGAAATTTTTCTCCAGGCATAAATTCAGAAATAACTGCAAAATCAACTTACAGTCATGAGATTTAAAGTGGGCTCAGCGGGATGTTTTTGTTTGTCAACACATTGTTCTTGTTTCTGAACTGTATCAGGCTGCTGATAGGTTCACCGAAGATGATGCCAGGTTATTGTTTGGCAGCGACTCTCATAACCCAGACGCCATTTTTGATATTCTGGACAGCAACGGTAATGGAGAGGTAAGTCCAGCCTTACGTCCCAGACTGAACCTTAAAAAAACGCAAAGAATGAAGGGCTAGCCGAATTGAATCAACACAAGTGCGAATGAAAACAAGGTTACCGTTCATGGCCTTTAAACGTGACGCCAGCGGATTTCCGCCAATCACAGCTTTAAAATAATTGCCTAATGAGGGTGCAGTAAGTCAGCGTGTAACAGTGCTCTACATTCTGGGCGTGGAAAACAAGCAAAAGGTTAGTTCGTCCCTGACAAACACAGAGAAAAGAAACAACAGCTATAATCTGTATAAAGAATTAATGTGAATTGATTGTCATTAACCATTTTAACTAAATATTTGGTGGGCTTTGGAAGATATGTTTGTTCAGGGGAAAGCCTGGTTTTGGCGTCCGGGTCACATCTAAGTCCGGCGCACTCCTTTCCGATTTTACCGGTTTCCCGGATCATCGGACCATCGTTTAAGAGTGTGCGGTGAAAATTCGGACCGATCTGACCGTTCACCGGAAGAACGGATGAAATCAAACGTGTTTGATTTTTTTTTTCGCATCCGATTTCACCGGATCCGATGTCACCGTAAAGGAGGTTTCACCGAACGCAATATTTATGTTAACCAATCACATTTACGAAGGAAGTCACATGATTCAAAATAGACAGCTGCCATTTCGTCATCATGCGGCTGATCATCATGTGACTGGTCACCATGTGACCGATTATAGAACGAAATCGGGCATGTGTGCCAGTAACGTTTTGTCTAACCGCAACGGTGAAAAAAAACCGTACCGGTGACGGTTTCATCCGGTGAACCGGTTAAATCGGAAAGGTGTGCGCCGGGCATTAATAATTCTATATGGCTTAATACTGTGTAGCGAAGTCTTTACTAGTCAATTCCTTCTTCACTGGAGCAGATTGAGTTTTGTGAACTGCTGGCCTTTGCCGAGAAGAGAGGCGTCGATATGATGGAAGAACTCCGAGGGTTTGAACGACTGGCGGATTTCGATCACCTTACGGGCCTGTTCGGTGCTCTCCTCAATGCATTGATACTCAACGCCAATCGTCTATCATTCAAGGTATGAGTTGCCTTAATAATCAGGTTAGACACATTATTCTCCATTACAAATCACGCATGCGCGCGTCTCAAAAGCGCGTTTGGTGCTACGCTTTCAAATTTGATTCAATTTTACACTCGCAAAATGAAGATGTTGAGTCAAACGGTAAGGAAAAAAGGCAGTTTACCATGGAGGAAGGAAAACATAAACCTGTTTCCTTCCTCCGTGCATGGTAAGGCCTACACGGATGACTTTTCATCATTTTTCATTTTCGGTGTTTGCTCTAGACTTCAGATATTGATCGCACCATTGGAGTCAATACGGGATACCTGGGAAGTACCGATTTTGATATGGAACCTGCAGACAGAGATTACATCGCTCAGGTAAATTATCTAAATAATGTGTGTAAGAATTGTAAAGAACGCAGATTTTGAAGAGTTACCTCTTGCGATTTAGTGACTGAATAGGCCTCAAGATAATTGTGTTTGTTTTTATCTGGTATAGAATTGAATTTGTATCGGACGTTTGATGTAAGGTTGATGTTGGTATTTTGATATTTGTATCTTTCAGTGTGGGAAAATGGGAGTCGTGTATTTCCTTCGTGATTACATCAAGAAGCACAACCTACAGAAGAAGGCTCATGACGTCACAACAGATAAATAAACGTCACAGCAAATGCTATTACATCTGAGTTGGGATAACTTGAACCGTACTGAGCTCGTCTCCATCGACCTATCCAAAGGCACTGGTCAACGCTTATCTCTCTTACGAAAATGTGTGAAGGAAACCCGAGGCTTGCATTCATTAGAACATGTAGGCACATACGCCATGCACACAGCCGTACACCGTAAAATGGTTTTTAGGGTTTAAACATTTTTTGTATCGACATATTGTCGACATGTTTAGTCTAAGACGTGTTTAGCTTTTTTTTACACAGTATGAAAACCTGGTAGTGTCATCAATAAAAACTTATTTAAAAATCAAGTTTATATTTAAAATTCGTTTTGCTGAGTCGGATGATACAAAAAAGACTAATAGAAGTGTGTATTTGGCATGTCGCTCGACTTCAACCCTATAAGTCATTTGTATTTTTTACTATTTATTCTTGATGATACTACAGGTTTTTGTCGTGTGTGCACCGAAACATGTCACAGACATCCATCAACATGTCTTAGATTTAAACATGCGAAAAAAGGTAGATACAATTAATTAGTGTTAAGAAATGTGTTTAACCCCAGGACCAAATTGTTTGCTCAGTCATGCGGAAATCACTAGAGCGTGAACAAAATGACCACAAGTCCAAAACTCACTTTTTTTCAACCCAGATTTTCACTGCCAAGGAGTGATTTAAATCATAGGTGTTGTGTGTAAAGTTTGTTCCTTGAAACTTGCTCTTGTATGTGATGTAAAAATGAAGTCCATATGTGTAAATATAAGAAAGTTATGCCTGTTTGTTCATCTGGTTCAATTTATCAAACTGCAAGCCATTTCACCACATGACCAAATGGCACTCCATACCTCAATTTGTGCGTGGATGCTTCTGAAGCACTTTTCTCATTTTTTTGTAATGGCAACACTATGAATAAACTACACCATTAGAACGATCCGAAAACACTCTTTCAGCTGGTATATGGTTGATGTATGGACGGCCAAACATATCAACATACCGCCTTTCTGAAAAGTAGTGAATATATCTGTGTTGAGTGTGTTCTGTGTGTGGTTTCCTGGTCGACTAAAGTCGCCCATGGAAACCAGCAGGGGGGTTCTTCTTGTCGACAAAAGTCGCCCATGGTTTAAGGTCGAAACACATAATCGACCAGGTCATGACACGTCATGACCGACCATGACTACGAAAATGTCATTGAGTTGTCTGCACCGATTACGATGTGATTGAGTAACATAAAGGGGTACATCGCCCTGAAATTATATGTTAAATAGTTTATAAGATTTGAGGCTTTGCATGGTGGGGTATCGGTATCGTTTCGGTTTGCGGTAACACCATGTGGTAATAACTACTGCTTAGAAGATATTAGTTCTGAGAAGAACTTGTCCTGCTTATTATCAACTTGCTAAGTAGTTTTTTGTTTTGTTAAGAACAGTCCTGCTGTAAGTTCTAAAAGAACTTGTCTTGACCAAAGACAAGTTCTTTTAGAACTTACAGCAGGACTGTTCTTAACAGAACAAAAAACTACTTAGCAAGTTGATAATAAGCAGGACAAGTTCTTCTCAGAACTAATATCTTCTAAGCAGTAGTTATTAAATAGTTTACTTATCCTATTTCCAAGCTATGGTATGATATAAAGGAAAGTAATAATGTCTCACTGTTCCCACGAACAGATGGGGAAAACAAAACATTTTTGTTTACTTCTGATGCGGCGGACAGTTCGAGGGAAAATTGAATTTTAACCTCTAAGTGTGGACGTTTATATCCTACTTTAAAGGGAAAATACAACATTTGCAAACATCAAAAAATAAAACTACCAAATCATTTTGAAATACCTTGCTGGACTGTTAGTGAATGACAGTGTAAAGCATCCTGTAAAATCATGGCACCTGGTATACTGTCATTTTCAAGAAAAGTGGTATTTTTGTATCAATTTCCAACGCTGATCGGCCGATCAGCGTTGGAAACAACTGGCTTTTTTTCAAATACTGGCCCCAATTGACCATCGCACTTGTTTGCAATCGATTACAAACCTATGAATGGGTACGAGCCAGCTAGACTGGTTCCCTGACCTTACAATTCCCCAATGTATGTAAACTGCTCTGTTTCTTCTTATATGGGGTCAGGGAACCAGACTACAGGAAAATGATCGTTTTTCTTGGTTTTTATAGCATTTTCGAACCCAAAACCTCAAAAAAGTCAGTGTAACTATATTTGCTATATATTTCCAACCCCCCAATTCCATCCATTTCTGAAAATTACAGCAAAAGCAAATGATGTATATTCCCTAAATTACTGTCATTTCGTTTAAAACGCGGCTTGTAGCCCAATCGGGCGCTTTCCAGGATGCAGTGCCCCTTTACCAGTCTTTCATAAAGGTATACCATTTAAACTAAGGAAATGGGCAATAATGTTACCTGTTTGAGGTAATAATGTTAATTTAGAATTTGGATTCACAGAGTAGTGGTATTTTTGTATTCCTTGTTTTTGTTTCTCGTACAACATGTCCTAGAACATGTATCTTTTGATAGATTATGAGTCCGCAGCTCTAAATTAAACGTTTCATAACTTTCAAGTTTTAGTTCACAAATTTTTCTATAAAGCTGTTTATTTGTTAGTTTGTGAACTTTTATTTTCCAAATTGGTTTTATCGGGGTTTTTTTTATTTTTACTTTTCTTTATTCATGCCTTAAATATATCTGTAAATATTATTGTTGCACGTAGTAGAAGTAATTGTGTTGGTGTTTGTTTTAATTAAACCCTGGGATGGTTAAGTTATTTCAATAGTTAATGACATGCCCAATGGGGATTAGTTTGGGTCTAACTGTAATTAGTTTTTAACCAAACACTCTGGATAAGTTTCTCAGTGACAATTGGTACAGTATTCGGTCAGTTTCATATTTAAATAATAACAATATTAATCGAGGGCTTTATTAATTAATATATTTACAAACGTTTGCAGTGATGCACTCTGACTTGTTTTGTATAATTGATTATGTATGAGTATCGGTTTTATTTGTAACCCTGTGGTCAAACGTTTGTTAAACCACTGCAGTTAATCAATAATAATAATATCACTGTTTTCTTTCTTTCAGATTTGTCAACCAAAAAGACAACTAAATCTCTTTTTTATTACGAGATGGTGGTACTTTATCCATTATGGCCGGCTGCTAAAGGAACTTAATAATAAAAAGAAACCTGCGTAATCATCGTTTCCGACCACTTTTTAGAGACAATTCGAAGTTGTACGCGACTACGCGTTCAGGACTCCTTTCTAGCTCGGAACAACCTTCCCGATAATAAATAACCAGATGTTTGAGGTTATTTCACAAGACTCACATATCTACATCTCAAAATTCTGATGCGAGTTGTACATCACCAATCAATGTGCCTAATAACAACGTATAATAAGGGAATAAAAATGTGCTTGGCCAGTCTTAAACAAATAAGTTTAAAACCGGCTAGGGGCTGGACGCGGATAATTGCCCGAGCCGAAGGTTTTTCCGTCAAAAAGTCAAAACAAGTCAAAAGTCAAAATTCGGGCGATTCACAATGCAGGGCGCCACCAAGAGTTTGCCATGGAGAGTTCATTTTCCAAGTTTATGGTCGACAAAACACGGCTCATTTGAATGAGTGTCAGTAGACAACTTGAGCCAATTTGTTATAGATTGGGGCATATCGTTCTGCCGCCTTACAAAAAAACCACCATATTGATAAAAAGAAAAGAAAAGGGCAAACAGATACTCGAGTCATGCGCTTACGAAACTACTGACCGGAACAACTAACAATTTCAAATGTCACGCTCTGCAAATTTGTCGACCATCTCCCACAACGCACTGGGTAAAAAGGACCTCTCCGTTGCAAACTCTTGATGGCGCCTGCATTGTGAATCACCCGAATTGCCAATGATTTTGCTCAATTTTACTTCATGTTTTGTGAAACGCCCCTCTGGCCATGTCTACGTATTATATGTGCCTCACGTGTGCTAAAAATGTCCTTATATGTAAAAATTGGCGCGCGCGGCGCGTACTGCGTCGTGATGTGGCGCAGAACGCGGCGGTGTTGTACCGGTGGTTTAAAACCACCCACGTAACAGGCTCTCGACCAATAGGAATTGGTGAACTGTCTTAGGTACGGTATTTATGTATGGTGATTTAAAGGCATATTCTTTTGTTCGTAACCAAAATAACACCACTCAAAATCCAAAAGAAGAATGTTCAAAATCTAACCTGTTGAAATGCCAGCTCAGTGGTAATACACTTTTCAAGGAAACAGTCAAAAACCATGCACAACCTTTTTCATCAGGAACTACGATTTCGTCTATAGCACGCTTTATTTCCAAAAAAATTGACAATTTACTGCAAACAAAATTTACTACAAAAAATATTTGTTCTGGATCCGCCCTTTATATACATGCAGGTAGGCCTTTATCATGTCATTAAAAAAAACCGAAAGGGCAACCCGCAGTTCATTTACTGTCAGTGCTCCCTTGAAAAAAATGTGCGCACCCCAAGGTGCCCCCCCCCCCAGATGTTCAACCAGCCACATTTCATGATTTCTTATAAATGAAAGCAAGCCAGACGGACTCATTTTACTAGTCTTTTTACGTGCCAGCATCTAGGGTGTGCCACGTGTCCGGGTAAGCGCGTGGGACTTGACTAAAGGCTAAGATATATCAGACGTTAGACAGGAGACTGGGCTCCGTGGATAACGGGTGATACTCAGACTAACTGTGAAACCGGGAAATGTCCGATCTTAGAAAATAAAGCAGGTCGCAGGCTCAAATTCCGCTCCTCTCGATTTCTTTGTTCAACTTAAAAAAATTACACCTTTATTCAGACACGATTAAAGAAAAACATTTCCAAAACTGTATCCTGTACCACAATTAACTCACTTCAACTACTGCATGCTCAATATAAAATTGTAAAGTCGTCTTTAGTCACCTGACCTATAATTTCCATCACGTGATATATTTCACGCATGGGTATTACAGTAAGTGACGACATAATTGCAGCAAAACAATTGCAGCAGTTTCAGCCTATTTAATTCCATTGGTCCCAAAGTTGTGACTCATTTCAGCAAGGCCTATCTCCCTCGATATCATGTCGGTTCCCCCATTACAAGATTCTTTTATGTAATATCAACCCTTCCAAGGAAGGATATTTAAGTCATTTTGGAAGGCCGCCATAATAATAATAACAGATAATTTATAAGGCGCACAGTATCTGGAGAACCATTCAAAGGCACCGGTCACTAGCAAATCACTGTAGTTTAAATGATAGATTGAAAAGATGAGTATCAAGATAGCGTTTGAATGATGACATATCAGTTTGTGTCTCAACTCGTCTGGCAAGGAATTCTAGAGACGCGGTGCACAGCTGGAAAAGGCCCGGTCCTCATAGCTTGCCAGGCGATTTGTGGGAACAGAAAGTATCTGTGATGAAGAAGATCGGAGGCCTGGTTAAGT